ATCATGGTATTGGACAAGTAATACGTCCTGCGATAAATTCGGACAAGTCATAGATATATTGGACCTAGCCTAAAATTTATACACAAGTGTGAACGCCATGTTTTTATAGAGAAGCGCGCAACCATTGACGTGCGCAACCCTGAAATTCAAAGCAATGTCAGTTGTCACGCAATTGTGTCCAACCCCATGCATGCACTACAAGTAACCCAGTAACGTCTTATCTATGCCAAGATAGGATTGCGCGCTTTTTACGGATTTATCAAAAGTTTGATTAAACATAAAAATGGGATGTATTTATTCTAACCCTATCAACAAAGTTGAACCAATATTGGTTAAAAATACAGAAAATGGTAGATTTACAGATAAGTTTGATCTCTTTCTTGTAAACAGAAATAGAAGAACGGAGACATCTTCTTCACCAACTCGAGCAAGAAACCAACAGAAGTCGATTAGCCGACATAAAGTTCGAGCGTCTAAAGGAATAAGTACTGAGGTAGTGGAGGCTAGTCCCAGGAAACCAACCCCGGCAAAATTACAGAAAAGAGGGGTTAACAGTGTCACAGAGAAACAGATAAAAGCCAAGTTGGAGAAAGCAGAGAAAAGGCGAAAGGTAAGATAAAAAGAAATACCTTAACTCCATACCAACCTAACTACCCATTCTACCTGGCGCATCTACTGGAACTGTAGACAGTGGTGAAATGGCTTACGAAATCAATTCGCAGAGATCGTCGTAAGTGTTCGTGAGCATTCGCGGTTGTAAATGGGATGTTGTGAATAATAGGAACATGCTCCTAAAACTTATATACTATTTGCTTTCGCAACACTTTCGTAAACAATCACAAGCCATTATAATTGACGGCAAGGTATTTGTGATAATCGTAAGATATTTGTAAGGATTTAACTAACATCGGTCGTAATATATAATTTGGTGGAATCATTATAGGAAAATTAGAAATTCGTGGCAAATTTATCGAAAATGATATGATTGATCTGGAAAAATATTGAAAACAGAGAGGCCTTACAAATGTTTTATCAATGTTTGCTAAATTCTTATTTTTTACGCTATTCGCCACGCTTGCGTTGTGTAGTCGTTTCATTCGTAATGCGTTAATCGCAAGCATTTACAAGGGCATTCGTAAGCATTCACAAGGATTCGTAAGAAATTCGCAAGCACCTTTTTTTTTTAGTACTCACTCTTAAATAACCACCCGCTACCCTCTTTTCGAAAAATTTTGATTTGCCCCTGAATCATGTGTTACAGTAAGAGTAGACACAAATAGTCACATGTCCACAATTTGTGGATGTAAAAGTAAGCACAACACGTCATTTATTACTTTTTGTTTTCAATAGGAAATAAAAGAGGGTATGGTCAAGAAGTTCCACCATGATTGTACAGAAAAGAGGGCAGCATTTGAAAAACTCGCACAAAAAAAAATCATAGAAAAACAAGAATTACAAAAAGATAAAATGGTTGCCGCCGAACAAAATAGAGAGATGAGATTAAAAGAATTAAGAGATAGATTGAAAGAAAAACAAAATATGTCCGAGATAGTAAGAAGCAGAAGACAAATAACTGGAGATTATATCGGCGCTTCTTTGGTCAGTCGAGGTGGAACACAAATCTCGGCTGGTTTCAGCTTCGAAATCCTTCACTTCAACCCATCACTACCATAAGGACACCCAGCAAGGCTGGAAACCCTAAGTAGACAAAGAAAGAGTAAATTGGAGAAGGGAAAACAAAAACAAAACATAAATGGACGAGAGGTCAGTAATACTATTGTCTCCTATATGGAAAGGAATGGTTAACACCTCGTCGACACCATACCAGTCATTTTGTGACGATATAACTGCAGTAGTTTATAGTTATATGGTTGCGTGTCAAATTATTGTTCCAAGACAACGACTTTTCTGCCAACACGTCTTTAAAATTAAACTGTCCAAAAGGCCCAATATGCACATTGGTTTAGCACGTTTTTTGTCCCATCAAAACCATTAGACACGCTTCAGGAATCAGCACCACAGACCGCAGTCCATAGGTGCACGAGCCCGATGAGCTTTATTTTAACCGGGTGGTATTTCGAAAATTAGACGATCTCGATCGCGTATTCCTGCCATTTTAGGTCACCTACAGTTTCTAGAAATTATAGTCCAGCAGAACCTTATTTATTTAGCTTTGCAACCGAAATCCTACTCTGTGCCGACCTGGATTTCTCACTTTCCCCTCTGTCCGAAAAATCTGTTTGTCCTACACTCATACCACGCGGCTCGTGCACCTATCCCAGATGAGTTCAGTCCAGTGTTAAATAATTAAAATTGCTTTCTCTATTTTGTTCAATAGAAAAGGGAAGAAGACAATATAATGCCAAAGCTGGCAGCAGTAATCATGAAAGAAAAAGAGGAATTTCAGAAAGAAAAAATGATGAATGCCCAATGAATAAAGAGAAAAGATTATTGGAGTTGAGAGAAAGACTAAGGGCGAAAGAAATGCGTGCAGTGAGAATAAGATGATCTCGATCCATCAATAATTTTCATCATCAGAGTTATCCCTGTAAGGAGAAATCTAGGCTATATTTTAGTGAATATAACTGAATAATTCTTTGTGGAATGCTCTCAGTCTGTTTTGTAATTATTTCTAAATGGCTCCATATTTTGAGCTAAAATAATTTGGCGTTCAATTGGAAAACTTTCCTTTTTAGAGAGCCAGTGAAATGGACTCCTCTCCTGATATTCATAAAGCAAGTGGCGTTGTAGTCGAAACGGTTAAGAAGAGCAGATTTCAAAGTCCGCTGTGTAGGGGTGGCCCCTCCCATTCTCAGATTGTCTTATAGTTAATTCAGCTATCGCAAGTTTGAAATAATCATTTTATATTTAATGTTTATTCAAATATTTTTGTTCCAAGTTTTGCTTTTTGATCGGTTTTAATTTTAACTGTACACTATGAAACACTTTATTTCGTGCAGTATATTGTATTAAAACACATTGGTTCGTATACTGTAAAGTTCTCTTATTCTGCAATCCACATTGCACCCCATGACTTCAATGCTAATTAGGTGGTCTCGTGTTACTCCCGCTGTTGGGACCAAGAATGTTCCTCGGGATTTTTCGGCGTTTTTTTTTCCTTGCCAGTGGTGCAGGGCGGAAGGTATGACAAGGAACGGTGTCTAGATGTCCGGATGGAACGACAAACCGTCTTTGTTAGCCCTGTCGGAATAGAAAAGTAGGATGTTAAACCCCATTTGGACATATTTTTTTAGATAGGACTACAAATATTATTGTAATGGCCTACATGAAAACTGACCGTTTGTATGTCGTTCAAAATATATTACTGAAGATTCCCAAGAGCATGCGACACATAATAATATGTTTTGTTGAATACTATTTTGGGCTGAAACATTATAACTGTGAGTCGCGGTAGCTCAGTCAGTAAGGCGCATGCTCACTAACCAGGAGGTTCAATACCGGTGCTGGACGAGAAAGTTCGTCGGATTTTTCTGCGTGGGCCCTTGTCGGTGCTAGAGGACGTGGACCTGGATGGAACGAAGATCCATGAACTTTGACATGCGAGTAAAAGAACCCTTAACAATTAGAATTCATGTGACGTATCCCCGTCTTCATTAGTACCGTCGGCAGTGACATATGGTGGCTGATTGGTATCATGTGGCGATGTCGTGGTATCGCCATCTCGACATTTTCACCCGACAATACATTTTCACCGGACACCACGACATTAAAAATGTCGTAATGTCGTGTAAAAATGTCGTATTGTCGGGTTAAAAACTCGTGATGTCGGGTTGTCGGTCATCTTCCTCTCGGTATACAGTATGGTGTTTGCCATTAAACCCCATTTCATGTCATTTAATTTTCCTCACTTTTCTGCAAAAATCGGACTATTGAAGATAGGCATACGCTATGCAGAGTGCTATTACGGAAATTTTCTAGGGACGGTGACATATCTTCATCGAATTCCAACTGTGAAGGGTTCTTTTATGTGCACGCCAATGTATACATTGTTTTTTTTGTACCATGTACACAACTAGACACTATTCTTTGCCAGACCTTTCGTCCTGCACTACCGACAGGAAAAAACACGCAGCAAAATCCTGGGAAAATTTCTTGACCAATATTCATACTGTATATTGAGAGGAAGATGGCCGACAACCCGATCCGATTTTCGATCTCGGCCATCATTAGGGTGTAACGGTGATATATCCAAACGGGTGTTTTAAATCGAATAAAAATTGTAACCTCTAGAGGGACCACAAGCTAGAAACGTAGTTTTTCGAACAATCAAGGCAAATAATTCAGGAAGTTACCATCCAATATGCGCGAATATCGAAAGGAACCAAGATTTTTGGGTTATAAACATGTATTTCAAGTCTCATCATAATAGGATGAAAATTGTGACCTTGATATACCATATTTTTTACACTATTTGCGTACGAGGGGCGGCCATTATGTCCGGCAGTTTTGGTCCGATTTTCACGAAATTCGAATTCAACCGACATTTTTTTGGGTCATATTTTCGAACGTTTTTTTTAAATCGGATAATTGAAGAACCGCAAGCTAAAAGCGCGATTTTTCGTACAATTAGGGGCCATCATTCAGGAACTTACGATCCGATATGCGCAAATATCGACATGAACCAAGATCTTTGGGTTATAAACATTCATTTTAAGCTAAAAACGTGATTTTTCGTACAATCAGTGGAGATAATCCATGAAGTTTCGGTCCGATACCTGCCAATATCGAAAGGAACCAAGATCTTTTGGAGATGAACCTATATTTTAATTTTCGTTAAAATCGGATAAGAATTGTTACCTGTAGAGTGTCCACAAACAAATTGTTGACGGACAGACTGACACGCACAGACGGTCAGGGGCGACGACAATATACGTCCACATAAAATGTGGGCGTATAAAATGGGCACCTCTCGTAAAGTAAAGGTCAGGGTCACATCATATCATGTTTTATTTGAGCGGCATTTGGCAAAAGGTACTTACACAGTGTGAAAGCTACAAGAAATATTCCTGTATGAGCCAGACCTTGTAGAAAATACATTGGTAGAAACATATATATGTTCTGAGCAGCGGCACCAATGCTTCCAGCTATCAACAATATAGCAGCACCAACAAAAAACATAGGACGTCGACCAAATCTACAAATATAATAAAATATTAAACACGATCTCACTTGTCAAAATGTAAATCTTTTTTTTTCTACAGTGAAACAAGAGTGAAAAATAGTCAAATTCTGTATGTGGTGCATAAAGCTCTGAAGATATATATTTAGGAAGTTCATGTCCTTCTTAGAGTTTATTTATATTTGACACGATTTCTGCCTAATCGATATTTGAAGTTTCACTAGTTACTATTATTAAATGAATCTGTGCTTTTGTCATTTTTATTTGCACCATTAAACAAATTCATATGAAATATTACGTTTACCTGTCAGACAACTGGCCAAATAATACGGCTCCACATAATCTTCCGAAAAAGAAAACAGACTTGGAGGTACTCTTCCAAAACTTTCTCTCACATACCAGATCAAACTTTTGCGATTGATAGAAAAAGAAATATTAAAAGACTTTTAGGTCTATCCAAATATACATCAAATGTGTACAAGCAAGTTAGGTTACAGCCCTTGTCAGTGATGTAGGACGGAGAGCGTGACAAGGAACCGTGTACGTCTTGTTCGGATGGGACGAAAAATCGAGGTCCCGTGTACACATTGGTGTACACGTAAAAGAACCCTTAATAGTTGTAATTCGGAATAACAGTAGTCCCGACAAAATTGCCTCATGGCACACTGCAAGACGTATTTTTATATATAATAAAAACAAAGTTGTTTCAATTATTTTCTACACCATAGTTTTTGGTTAAATTACTAAAACTATCGGTATACTTATATGTTTGTTTAAAGACCTACTATTGGGATTCTTCTGATCTCTAACATGAAGAATTAATTTTAGCAACAATACAGTATTATACAGATAGTTTAATTATCCTGACGGATCCCAGATGGTAAAAATATCGACTATCCGGTGCACAACGTTTTTCACCTCATACTGCACACTAAAAATAAAACCCGATTATTTGTCTCACGGTCAAGTGTTGAGCAGATGCTAAACCATCACACATATATATTCTACTCACTTGTGAAACTATCGTTGATGAATATTTTTCTTTAGAATACCAAAATCCCCTGTTACAATCGCTGGTGGAGATGTTGGATGATAGGATAAGGCTAACATTACCATCATAAACATCATATAACTCGAGAACATCCCTTTCGTCGTTTTGCTTACAGGAATCATCCGGTACCAACAGCTCTACCAAAACACCTTGACTGACATTAGATAATTTGCTGCCAGAAAGGTTTAAGTTTTGATGATCACAATGGAATTCTGGCTCAGCACCGATAAATACCATATTAAAAGCATGCCACGAAGACACGATCGAAAATAGACACAATAAAAAGCATCGGATTTTCTGGTATTTCCCAAACGGTCCTAAAATCTGCAGAACGTCGTCAAACCTCATCTTGTCAGATCTGTAGTAAGAAAAATAATATATATCTATCTAAATAAAATCAAAGATGTGTGTATGGGTGCAGGTTTGGTATCAAATTAACCAGCATCACCCCGTGGATGTTTTAGGCCATCGAATTTGGGACCCGGGCCAATTTGAAGTATTTTGAACCCCGGGTACATGTATATACTAATACAAGGAGATAAATCGAGGTAAGATCTTCCATATAGGGTGAAGATATTTACCACAAAATATGACTGTGCGACACCATATCAGCCCGAAGACTATGCATTCCTCTACCATCTTGAATACTATCAAAATTTACGTATGCGAAAGCGGAGATAAAAAAAGGGTGGCGATGAACAAAGCTGAGATGAAAAGAAAGCTGATGGATAAAGCTCTGTCAATGTTTGGTTTGTCCGTACACGTTGGCGTGCTCGTAAAAGAACCTCAGACAGTTAGAATTCGATGAAAAGTAGGCCGATATGTCACTGTCCGGGCAAATATCCTCTCATTGTATGCTACATGGTAACTCGGCTTGACATTATACCCATGTTGTTTTATTTAATATTCTTAATGCATTTGAATATGAAACGATAAAAAATATGCACCAAAATGGAGATTAATCTGAAAGAGGGAAACGCTCTTTATTTAATTTGGTCTCATAACATTTATTTTGGCACTCAGCACCCTAAAATTAATGTTCAAACGCATGATTCGGCAAAAACTAGACCTTTTATTGTGAAAACGAGTGCGTATAGCACAGATGTTAGAAATCAGCAGTTCAAAATTGATCATGTGTTCACCTGGTGAACAAAATGCCCAAATACCCTATACCTATTTACCACTTGGCCCATTTTCTCTAAACATTTATTTCGACACAACCAGCCCACCATATACAATATGTGAGACACGAGTGTTCTATGATATCTCTATAGTCATATAGTTCATACATACCTGAAATAACTATCGCCTCAAAAATCTAATGAGGCGAGATTTATTCATTGACATTGTCCTAAATATTCTTACCGTTTGCAAGAATATTTCCAATTATAGTGCAGTCTTTCATGAATCACGTAGAATGCTATATTCTTAATACCAATGGCCTTGTAAAGTGCTCAAGACTAAACAATGCATAATGTTTAACCATGTGTAATATGACACTTACGAGTTATCCTGCATGTCTTTAGTTCTTTCACCTTGTTTCGGTTTGGAATCCATTAGGCTATGCATTGTTCTGTAATTCTGTTATTCTGCTGTGATATAATTACTTCTCTCTGTTCACAGCCACGGGTCCCAGTCAATTGTATATAACGCAGAATAGGTTCATGCCATAATCTGCAGATACGACAATTTATGGTTTATTTTGTGCGTTGCGGTACGGTGATCTAAAACGGACATTTCTTATCTTAAAGGGGATAAATCGCTAATATTTGGGAGCTAGAAATTGACACACAAATGGGTCGCAACGCATATAATAATATAATATGAATGTATATAAACTATTTAACATTCAATCTTTTCCGTTTTTACTCTAATTTCAAATCAGTTATGTACGGCAAAATACATCAGAAGTCTTAATCGAATATGGCAATCTCTAGCGTATGGTTATTCCAGTTTATACCGATAGTATTTATTGCGCATGCTCTCCAGGTAAGAATATGAAGTCAGCGTTTGACATCACTTGTGGAATATCTAACATAGTCTTCGAGTCCCTAATTACAAATAGCGCTGAAACGCATTATGTTACGCGATTCGTGTATCAATGGTAATGTTTATTTTGTCTTAAATATTGGATATCAGAAACCCAATTTCTCCCGTTAAGATCACAACATCAATGCTGATTTAAAATGACAAATAATTCGTGTTTTCAATGTCGAAGACTTTGGATGATATTGAGTTAGAGACTTAGCTACTTAAAATTCCCGTCATCGCATCCCCATCTTCGCTCGGACTTTGTCCCGTCTTGGTGACAAAATGATGTCAATTGGACAAGTTTGACATTCAGTCTAGTATTGTCATCTGGCGTAATATATAAAGAAAATTAAAATACAAAATCTAATTTATTTTAGATATATAATCACTTTATAAAGATAAATAGAAGATGGCGAATTTATAGTCACTTGAAAGGTATTTTGTTTTTCATTATTTTATAGGAGGGGATGTGTTTTAAAAAATATAAGTCCTTTGTTCAATTTACTATTTTTCGTCGATTAATCCGATTAATATGAAATAAAGAGAAACTGATTTTGCACGATAATTAAACATACATTATGCAAGAGCTAAATTGCAGGTCTTTCTTTAGGCCTGAAATGTTATCTAAATTATTAATTAGACATTAATTAACCTATCCAGACCATAATCAACTCTAGATGGCGTCGCTAGCCTGCGATCTTTAGTGGATAATGAGCCGATTTACTGTGTAACTTCCCTTTACGATTTAACGATTAAATGGATAATCGAGGCTATACTGTTTATCGTACTGATGGTCCAGAAGGCTAGCCGGAAATTTCAACCGCTTAGTTCTCGGTTCATAGTGGATCAATTTGAATGAAATTTTCAGCAGATTGCCTTTACATTACCTAGTTTTTAACTATTATAGTGAGAACTGCCAACTCGTTATCGAATCTCCCATATATAATGTATCTTTAAAGGCCCTTTAGAACTGATAAATATTAATCGGCTTAAAAATTATTTATAGATTTTGAGGACAAATGGGAGGTATAAAGGGGAATTCTCCAGTTATCCAAAAAGTTAAAAATTACAAAGCCTGGCTTATTGTGTCCCCAGGGGCGTCGTGCAAAAAAAAATTTCGGGGGGGGGGGGGGGGGCAATATTCTGCAATTAAATTTACTGGCCGCGGAGCGTGTGGGCGGCAGCGCCGCCCAACATCGAATGCCGTAGGCATGAGCATGCAAGGGAGGTCCGTTGGGCCCTCCCCCGGAAAATTTTTAAAATTAGAAGCCGGGTAACGCCATTTCGATGGATTAGAGACAAAGTTATGATTGAAAAATGGTGAGGTTTTTTTTAGTGATAATTGTAATTTATCACTCGAAAATTGAATTATATTTTATTCATCTCAACTTCGATTTAATTACTGAATGGACATTTCGAACAACTTCATGCAAAACCCCATTCCTTCCTCCACCCCAACCTCAGACAGGGTTATGGTCAAATACGTATTTTGATGTATTTGTATTTTAATAAAAAATACTTTCAGTCCTTATTTTTGACACCCGTATATGGATATGGTATCAAATATAGGGATTTTCTAGCTACAGCAAACTCTATAAATTAGATCTTTATTTACACAACAAGCACAAAATCAACTCTGAAGACCCACGGATATTTTGGATTCGGCTTGGATTTAAACAGGATTTCATTGATTGATTAACTTTTTAAATGGCGTCGTGAGCGGAGATTAACCATTACGTTGACGTCATATTGCCGGAAATTTAAGATCGAGGCTAAATGATAGAGTGTACGAAGCGAGGCCGCTGTTGAGCGAGGCCTTAACAAATGACATCTAAACTAAAGTGCAATAAACTAAACACACATAATGACAAATTATACAATTCCTGGAGACCGTGTGATGACTAAAACAGACGGACATGTCTTCTGTCTGAATAATATCAATAAAAATATTTTTATTTCCCTGAGAATTTTTTTTGGGGGGGGGGCTGGCAGCCCCCCCCCCCCCCAGGCCCCAATGGGCACGACGCCACTGTGTGTCCCATAGCTTACTGTACTCCGCTGTCTCCTAGTGATAGGTCTACCGTAATCACAGTCCTAAAAATATACTCTTCAAAAAAAGTAGGGGAAATTTAAATGCAATTACCTATGCAGGTTGTGATAGGATAAATAGTCATGGACACTTGCCATGCTTTGAGAGTATGTCCACAGATGAAGAACTTATCGCCCCAACAGAACCACTGAGCTGCATGTGCGACACGCAATAGCGCCATACACGTGGGAGGGGTTCATTGTCAAATTTGACACTTCAAGGAAGGGTTGATGAAAACTGCCGCTTGCTGGTTTATCCTATCCATGTTTGCTTTCCTCTCGGTTCTTGCATAAGATTTACTGTTTAGCGTATCTTTGCTTTAGACTTTAGTGTGTTACGTTTAATTTGATCACCGACAACACTGCAAGAATTGGCCGTGGCACTGCAAGATGAGTGGGTCAGATTGCCCCAAATCGTGATTGGACGGTTGATTAGGAGCATGTCACGACGAATTTCTGAATGTCTGAGGATTGGTGGAGCAAATTACTCATTTTCACTTTTGACAGTGTAGGCCTATCTCCTTACGAATAGGCCTACGAGTGAAATGGGGCCGTCGGATAAGTCGCCCATATGAACTGTTTATGTTCATGTGTAGGCAATTGGCTTGTTATTAACATACACTGGTTAGATCTAATGAAAACAGCAGTGCATTTCGGCAGTTTTGTATTGTTTCTGAATATCCCCTACTTTTTTTGAAGAGTAGCCTATAATATTAGATATTGCTGATAGTACTACATTCGAACTGGGATGGGAGACAACTCTGTTTGGGAGATTGAATTCAGGGCTGATGTTTTTACACGATTTACCCAAAGTTACGATCTCCAAAAGTTACCGTAGGCCCACGCAGAAATCACTGTCTGACACAAAAACGCTACGATTTTAATTTAATAATGACAATCTAGCATACCGGTAACATAAAATTTATTATCCAATAAATTATTGGGATATGAGTTATAATAATAATAAAGGTGGATTTGGCTAGATTTGGGTAAATCGTGCAACCAATTATGAGAAGTAGTAGTAGTAGACTACGTTTTAGTTTTGCCATGGACCTTGGGCTTGTGCCTATAACTTATAAGATCCCTGGTTTTACACCTCTTACTAGCCTACTCTTAGATTGTCTCTTAGATGACTTGTTAGAATACATTAACGGTTAGCGCTCGCTTCTACTTTAGACAATTCATTTTATAGCTCGTTGGTCATTGCATGGGGCCTTTACGGTGGTTATTCAAATATAGGCCTACATGTAGTAGAAAATGACAATGGACACGCAAGAAACACTACGATGAGTAATGGGAGATAACTCGATTTAAATGTAAAGGGAAATAACTCTTGGGAATACTTGAACCGGAAGTTAATTGATTTTACTGATCACGTGACATGTAGGTGTTCCCGATAAGACACAAATAATACACAGGTACGTACCAGGCCTAATTATACTTGAATTATAAAAGTAGACACATTGCATGCGTTTTAAACACGTTTTCTTAACAGCTGGGATGTTATTACACTTTAATTGGTCTTTAACTATCGCTTGAATGCCAGTCTTTCGTATAAATTGTTGAGTTTCTTAAACTAAACAAATGATCGGAAATGATGATGACTGCCATTTTTATGATTGGGTTTGACAAATGAAATAGAGAAAAAGAAATTGGGCCTGGACTCTGACTTGCATATTTTTCTGTGTCAGTGGTATATAAAAAATACACGTATCTAATGTTATAGGGCAAAACGAGATTATACCCTGACCTGTTTCTTGACTCGTTCAGATCCAGATTTGAATTTGATGTGATGTAAGCCTAATCCTCAAATTCAAGGTTTCCAATATTTGAGTATTTTTTTATTCACAGAGTTTCTCCATCCAGAAACACTGTACATTATACACTGTACATAAAAGAATATTTATTTACCTTTCATACACATCTATCCAAGATGTTTCTATATATTTGTGTGAAAAAACACCCACACTGACATACATGTACACTAAATCAAATATTGACGGAATGTTACATACATGGGAGATATATTTTGTTTTTAATAGCTTTAGGTAATCAAGTTTTACTAAAGCCTAATGCATCTTTAAAAGGTAATGATTACGCTTTTGAACAGTACATTGTACATGTATTATTAATGAAATTCAATATTTGTAGTCACTAGTCAATAAATTGGGACCTACATATATGTACATGTAGTAGGGTGACCCGTGCACTCTACAGAAAGTTGGTTTGACAAGGCTAAATGTGCACGCTTCAGTTGCGTGTCTCGAACTGATTTCTGACTACCCCGCATTCTCTTTGAGTCGATAAATAGCCATGGCACGTGCAATTCTCTACAAATATATCAACTATTACAGCCGTAAAAAATCTATTGTTGACGATTTTGAATAGCAGTAAAATTTAGCTTCTTGGTTATTACAGCAGCTTTAGAAATTACGTTTGTTGTATTTTTTAAATTGCTTTATCATTAACTGTACCGTTAAGAGCCGCATCTTTTGGTTTAGTACAAATAATATCTCTGAAACACTCAGGTTAGACAAGAACATGATACTAGCAGTAGTTTCATTTTACTTTTACAAGTTTCTTAAAACAATTGTTGAGTTGTCTAAAGTGCTTATTTCTAAATTCAATTTCTTGTTCTAGCTTTCTGTTATGTTTCGTAAAAAAGTAGTCTTGATTATCCCGACCTGTCAATCAGACGTAGAATGGTCGATAGACTGGTTAAGCGAGACTATTTCAAAACAAGGGCACGTAACCTATCTTTTACTAAAAAGTGTCTGGATGTTATGGACGACACTTGGAACCTCTATTATTTATAGATAATTAATAGTCATAGCTTATTAAGTACAACATGATCGTTTATTTAGTGACTATAATTGTGTGAAACTGATTTGAGGCTTGGCATATATATAAATATTGTGGCGTAATTGTCGAGATATTTGGAGATATTTATTTATGGTTGGTCACCCTACATGTAGTACAATCCCTTGAACTTTAATATCCTGTAAATAAGTTTCTGTGCTTACTACCATTCTGCTTCACCCAAGCCACCAGGGTTGAGGGCCAAGTTACATTAATGTCCGTACTGTACCATTAATTGTTTTTAGTAAGCATACAATTACTTTTTAATTTGTTACCACCCATTGCATTGAAAGTGTTTAATTAACAGGTACCACAGAGTTATACATGTATATATGGTTTATAGGTGGAAAGGCACAGTTGCGAATTGGAGCGACAAATGCAGCCCAATTTTCTGATAAACAGAGCTTAATATCGACTCTGTCTAGCAAATTTAACTTTTGAAGGATTAACATCATTTTAATATAAAACAATGGTACTGTAGTGTGCTATAAATTTAACAGGGAGATAACGTAAAAAAATCCCACGTATAGCCAAATAAACATACATTATGCAAGAGCCAAATTTGTCTATTGCAGATCTTTCTTTTGCAGATATTTCTTTAGACCTGAAATGTTATCTAAATTATTAATTAACTTATCCAGACCATATTCAACTCGTGATGCCATCACTAGCCTGCGATATTTAGAGGATATGAATACATTTTTGTTAAAGATAATTAAATCGATAAATGTATAATCAAGACTTTATTTTTTATTGTACATATTTTAGTAAAGATGATGAGGCTAAACTAAAATTCCAAAGCTAATATCATGGTTCAGAGGGAGCAATATGCCTGAAATTTTCAGCATATTCTATTTATGTTATCTATTTTTTAACTATTATAAACGAAAACAGTCAACTCTTTATATAATTTCCCATATTGCCCCTTTAACTAAAAGTGAAATAAATTTCACCTTTATTCTTAAAGATGCATTATGTAATTGCAAGTGCTAAATCTTACTATTGCAGGTTTTTATTTTGACTTCAAATGTTATATAAATTATTATTTAGACATTTATTCACATTACAAGCCTAGATCATCAGATGGCGGGGATGTAAATGGATTAAAATACAATCGCAATTTAATGATTAAATTTAAAAATAGAGAAGTCTTGATTAGCAAGTAACCTAAACAATCTATACCACGTTCACATCTTATCAAAACTTCACACAGTGATATCATCTATCAGATCAGAATAAAGTAATTTGAATGAAATTTTCAATATATTGATTTTGAATATTAAAATTATTATCCATATTCAAACATTTATAGCAAAAACGGCCAACTCTTTGCCGGTATCTAAATCTTACATAATGCATCTTCAACAAATACCCTAAATTAATTGAATTAGCAGCATTATTAGCTCCACACCTTTACTTACATGTACATGTAATCCAATTTAACTTATAAACACAAGAACTGTATGTCCAATAGAAAGAAAACTATTTAATCTGTCTGATTGATTGAATGCTAATTAGTACTAATCTTTGATTACATTGTGAATCACATGCTACTGCTTTGATATTGGATTTGTGTCAGACAAAAAAAATAATTTAATTCTTTGATGCTGTTGCTATTTGTTAATATTTTAAGCACATCATACTCATAGTAGGAAATATTGATAATGTACTTACAATGAAAAATAATTTAGCTGTAATTGAGCGAAATTCATGACTTCAAATATTCCAGTGTTCATTTAGTCATTACAATTACTTGTACATGACCACTGCTTCAAAACATGTAGTTTTTGCATTAAACTGTTCCTGGCCCAAGGGTTACGTTACGTAAATTCTTCACTCTCCAATGGCTAAATTCATCATTTTCTTAAGTTGTTTAGTCCCGTACAGGAATGTGTTTTTTTTCTTGTATACAGAATACTGTGTTGATTGTTGAATTTGCTTTGAGGAATTATGTTCAGATACATTTAACTTTAAAAAATTGAAAGTGATTATTGAAATGAAATAACATCAACCTCTTATTTGATAAATGAATCTAGCAATACTGAGACTTGTATGTACATACTGAATGAAATGGGGCTATGATTCCTTGGTTTAGAGCAACTTTTCATCATTTAAAACTTGATTCTGAGTCCAAATATGGTTTATTTCCATTCAGTAGTTACAAAGAAGTGATGAATTGAAAATTTTGCAACATTCGGCATTCTCTGCAGATGATATACACAAGCCAGTGCCACTTGTTGGGTAAAATCTATTGATGGACCTTTTTTTAATATACATGTATTTGAAACGAAGCAGTGAGATTATTGGCTTATTTACTGAACTGCACAGTTAGTGACCATAGCGAAAAAAACCTAGCTCAATTTCTGATAAATGTAGCTCGGGTTTCTACAGCCTCAAGCGAATTCAACTACATGTATTCATTTAGGTGTTGTCTTTTTTATTCAATTAATTGGCTAATAATTGCTGTCGCATATTCACTTACATGTAGCCTACTTGTAATGTTTCTTCGATAGTTCCTGGCCACCCGCATACCGGATCAATCGAAAATGTTAGGTGAGCTTCTCCAACAAGTTTCTTTATTGTTGAGTGTCCCCTTCTAAATTGATGTTGGTTCTTGTACAGGGATTCCATTAACTGGTAAACTTCAGGTTGAACATACATGTAGTTTAGCTGAGGTTTACATGTACATATGTACCAGGATCATCGTTGGAAAAGCCACCAACACTGGATTGAACCTGGGACCTCCTGGTTAGTGAGAGAGTGCTCAACTCACTGAGCCACCATGGCTCCCACAGATTGCTTAAATTGCAATACAATGCAACTATTTTAACACACACACACACAATGCTTAATTAATAAGAAAAATGACATCATTATTAAAATGTAGTTTAATTTTGATTGGATACACATGTACATGTAGAAAAATGTAATGAAATGGGGTTTAACATCCTACTGTTCTGATCCGAACTGGGCTAATGAAGACGGGCATATGCCAAACAGTGTGCTATGAGGGATATTTTGCCTGGACAGTGGCACTCTGACCTACTCTTTTATCGAATTCCAACTGTAAAGGGATCTTTTATGTGAATGTGTACACGGGACCTCGTTTTTTTTGTTCCATCCAAACGTCTAGACAGCTGTCCTTGTCAGGCCATCCATCCTGCATCGCTGACAAGGGGGAACCACGCTGGAAAATCTGGATGAACTTTCTCGGTCAATGCAGGGATCGATCACTTGACCCCCAGGCTAGCGAGCCAGTGTCCCCCCCCCCCCCCCCACAAAAAAAATAAATAATCACAAACTGATTTGAAATTATGTTCTGATGATGTTCCCATTTTTGCAATATGTAAAACTTAGATAAAGAGTTGACTGTTCTTGTTACATATATGTAATGGTTCAAATATAAGATAATGATAAATAGAGAATCTCCTACCAGTCTTTTTTGATATCAAAAAATATCAACACAAGTTGATACAGTAAAGTAATAAAAAACGAGGCTCTGCCAAGTTTTTTTTTTACTTTATCAACGAGTGTTGATATTTTTTGATATCAAAAAAGATGAGTAGGAGATTTTATTTATCACACAATCCCTTCTCACATGCACAAATCGATAAATATAATTCTTTGCTGTAGATTTCACTTTTACTGAACATTACGACCAATCAAATTCATGTAAAGCGATATCTCCTTAGTAGATTATGAAATATATCACACAAGCGATATCTACTGTAGAGTGTATTATTGGGTGATAAATGAATTTATTACTTTATTCTGAGTGCAGAATTTATGAGCATTTGAAGATGTAGCAGATTGTTTATTATATTATCATAGCAATTGTACTTGACAAAAAAGACTAAGTCTCGTTTATCCATTTATTTATTGTTCAGTTTTAAAATCTTGCGAGTGTTATAATCCATTTAGGAACATAATGACTGCAGGATGACTTTAAGATATTTTAAACATTAATCAATATACAATGTATAAAGGAAATGATAAATTTGCTTAAGAGGGTGAAGCAGGAAAGTTGAGGTTTGATCCTCTAAAATGATTAATAATTTATAAACACCCAGTATATTTAGTTTCGTTAAGACTGTCATTGTTTCTTTCCTCTTCATTAGCAATATTGAGTGTCCTACATTTGAACTGAATGTGCTGAGTCAGAGAGTTTGCCTAACTAATTGGCATCCTGATGAACAGAACTAAAACATTATTACAGCTTATGATGTTTATTATATAACAGGAAAATATATTTCCTTTTCAGCTATGCACTCCTAAAACTCTTTCACAGAAGATTGAAGACAGAATGTTGGCAATCTATCATGAGTAAGTAAAAGTAACGGTATATTATATATACACTATGTTATAGATATTATTTATTTACTGTACCTAACCCAGATATCAGTAGTTTATGTTAGTAATAAAATGGTAATGTATACACAGTTTATTTACAAGTGGTTTGAATATTAAATGTGTTTAAGTCATGGGTTGAGACTGGTTGGTTGACAGTATATCTACATGTAGTTTGTGGCTGAGGCCTGTAAAACATGTACATACAATTTCTGTTTAAAATATTGGGCAGGGTTAATTTTCAGTTGAAGAAAAGAAAATAGTTTTATTTCTGTAAAGCATTTGACATCATTATTTGTTGATCAAATGTGTACGTCTTGTAAACTGAATCTTATCTCCTTCACCACAGCAGTGGATGGACAGATTAGTCTTACACAATAAAATATGAACAGTAAGAGTGCAAATGTAAAATTTATTCAATGCATCAGACTATAGACCAGGGGTGGGATTTCGCCCGTATATTCCGGACTTGTCCGACACGATTTTTCGAACACCCAATATTGTCCGACCGGGAATATGCCCAATCGGACATCAAGACATGGTGAATAATATCCAAAATTCCAAAATTAATGTAGTTCACTCAGTGTATAACTACCACTCAACCCGATTATCGTTGATAATAGGCTGGATTGATTAGGTAATTAAGTGATCAACGTATTTATCGTGGTATATCGTCTATACACCTACCTTGATTAACTACTTAATCTGTCATGATTGACTGACTTAATCCTTTGTCGGACAATTCATCAATCTAATCTTAAACAAAAGTCATTGCTTCCCCTTTGTCGGACTATTCATCAATCCAATAAGAGTGATTATAATTTTAACCAACGTGTTTACCTCGTGGGTTTCTCCATTGTTGGACTTTTTAATCGCATTGATGTGAGCCGACAATATGTATAAACTAGTCATAGATGTCACATATTATAAGAGTATAACACCGCAGTTCAATAGACAGTCATTATAACTTTCAAAATGCTTTGATTCTTATCTACCACCTAGTCTTCTTCCAAGCGAAAACGTGACGATAATGAAACACCCACACATAGACCCACACATAACATGGTAATATTGCCGCAATATTGGCAATGTTGAAATTTCAATATGTAAGACCCAAGGTCAGAAAGACTTCCCTAAATTTGTAGGTCCTCTATTGCCTGTCTGTCAATTCTGATATGTGCTCAAGTAGAGAATGACAAACAAGGGACCTATTCTTATCATTTGATAATATTTTCAGATATTTAAAATTAAATATATTTTTTTGTTCTACTATCAATATCCTGTAAATCATCTCTTGAGTTGCTCATTTTGTAGCATCTTGTCAGTGCCCTAGTGACAAAAGATTTTACTGGATCTACTTCGAATTAATATGCATCGAACAAATTAGTGAAACAAAGAAGCCTCTTGAATTTAAAAATTTCTTTTAATTATTGCTAGAGTTATGACCCTTGTATTTTTTATAACGAAAATTGTGAATGCTCTAGTGACAAATGGTATTGATTATGCTTGAAATTCACAAGCATTGTTCAGAATAATGAAATTAAGGATCTATTTGAACTGCAACAATATCTGTTAATTACTTTAAGAGTTATATACTTGCTCACATTGTATAATTTATAGTTATTTCCCATTATTATATCAATGGGCGTACTCAATTGAATGTTCCGGAATTGAATTCTCTCAATCCCAAAAATAGTGACAATCGAGTGAAAATGGGTACTTCTACAACGCATGCGTCGACTTGATATATAAATATCTCATCCAACCATGCAGCCGAAATCCGTTCGTCGTGTTTAATTACGTCACAATTCTACTCACACCACCTCTTTCGTCGGGACTGACAGAACTGTGACAGGACTAAATTCCGCATCACTCGATTGCAATTCTGTCAATTCGGGAAGTTCCGGACTGTGAATTGAGCATCCCCATTGAATCTTGTCAATGTGCCAATGATTTTGCTTTAAAAAGATCACTATTTTTCAGGAGATGGGTGTACATGAAACTTCTATTATTCATGTTTTTGTTTGTATTTTTAGCGTCTAGTGCTTTGAGTGAAATTGAGGAAATAAAAAGGGCTAACAAGGAGAGGGCAGAAATTGTTGGTCGATATGATAAAGTAAGACATTTTTTTTTTCTCTAGCCGTCAGACCAAAGGGCTTAAATGTTGCTACTACTCTTAAAAGAGTAGACAATTAGATCTGTTTTATGTCTCATAAATCACAAAGTCTGGTACATGTATTTTGCCAGCTTAGTTTGGTACTGTGCACGGACAACTTTGATTTACGTGTACTCTTTGAAAATCTTCTTATTCATTTTGGTAGGAATCATTTATTATAAAAGATAAAAGTTTGGCAAATTTAACATTGATATGTCCAATTAAAGTTGCTTTAAAGTTGGATAGTGGTGGTACAGGAACACCTTGATTGGGCAAGTTATGAATTTTTGATTTATCCTAAACCTCTTGGTGGATTTCAACCAAATTTGGTGCTTATTCTGATACAATGTATCTTTGACAACGTTATTAGAACCAATAGGAGTTAAGAAGGATGTTTATGTTGTCTTCTCAAACAGCTTAATATGCATTTTTAATGGCTTTTTTGAAACTGTTAGACTGGCCCTATTATTTAATGATTGATACGTGTCTTATGTCACACAGGCATTCATACATTCTCACTAAATGAAATCTTCAATGCAGACAAACATTTACTATACATGTAGGCAATTAAGGTCCATGGACCTCTTGGTTTACAATGTAGGCTACATGTACTTGATTGTACATAATGGATTCTGTAATTTGCGAAAGGGCATAAATCTGCAATTACACGTGAATAATTATTTTTATAACTAATATTTATAAGAAGCACATGTTGAAGCTTTATACTATAGATTACTGTGGAAAAAACATAGTATTTAAATGTTAGATAAACATGTTTGAAACAATCCATGGGTTAATTTGGTACGAAATCATCTAAATCAGTTACATGTACATGTAACATCAGAATTTTAAACCTACAAAATAGATACATGTATCATTAAAGACTCAGTGAGTAAGAAGTTGGCTCACTAACCAGGTGGTTCTATCCCAGTGTTGGCCAAGAAAGTTCCCTGGAATTTTCCAGAGAGGTTTCCCCCCTTGTCAGTGGTGCAGAACGGAGAGTCTGATAACTGTTTAGTCGTTCAAATGGGACAAAAAACGGAGGTACATGTATCCTGTACACATTGGCATGCACGTAAAATAACCCTTGACAGTTGGATTTTGCTATAAGAGAAAGCCTTATAGCCCACTGTATGGTGTATGCCCGTCTTATTAGCCCAAAATATATAGTTCCGTAATTCCTTTCAATATTTCCAAAAATATGAATCTTAGACAAGGGATTAACTAATATTTTGGTTTTGTATTCTTAATTAAACAATTTTAGAATATTTTAGCAATGGATTAAGCCAAAAAAAAAAGATATGTAGATTTTGTCTGAAAAATACCTGATCCGATACTTACCGGTAAATCTTTATGATTGAAATATGTTTGATAAAATCAGCTACAGGGTTTACATGGTTTCAGAAATGAGTCATGAACCCATACGGCATTTACTAAGGTATGCGTAAAGTTGGTATGTACGTATGCACACCATGTTATTCAGGTGTGGGTGGGGGGGGGGGAGGGGGAGGTAGTTGAAGGATGAAATACACATTTTAGATGATGATGTCTGTAATCAAGTGGCTTAGTTTCGATTCCTAGCTTGTACATTACATGTATGTACATGACAAGGAGTAGGGTCACCTACCCCGCCTCATGGGTTTTCTCAAGGTCCCCTTCTTTATCCCCAACTGCTAAAGCATATTTGGAAATTACCTAGTTTATGTTGAGTGGACACTAAACCCCATTTCTCTCTTTCAGGTCATGTAATTCTGTTAGACAAAAAAGGTCACACTGATCTGTACTGGACTAACCTAAAAGTATTACGACATGCATGATTGGTTCCTTGTGAATTCAATGCCTGGTTTATTCTGACATAACATAATAAATATTGATTCAGCTTGAAATAAAAAGTACAATGAAAAGTGGTATTGGGTGCATGACTCTTAGCATTACTTAGCTTTGATAAACTGGCTACATGTACATGTAACAGGCCATGACTTTTTAAAATCAAACTGCTCCTAAATAGATTGATTTAACCTGTTCCTTGTTACTGCTTTCATTTTTTGTAAATAATTGACAACATACATGCAGTCGAGTCACTCATGTTTTAGGAAAGAAGAATATGTGTAGATAAACACAAATGAAAATAATGCTGACGCCATAAATCTATCCTAGGCACATGTACATGTGGGAAAGCTTGAAAATAAGAACCTTGTTAAAGACAATGTCAGACTAAGATTCAGGCTTTGTCATTCACAATCTCTCTTGCGTCGTGATGTTTTGTCCAGCAAGATTTTGTTTGGATCCATGTTTTCTTGGTATTTTTAATTTATACATTCTGGTTATTATATGTACATGTACATTGTACCATATGAATATTATGTCGTTTAGGGAAGAGAAGAAGGGGCACAAATTGACCCATGGGAAGACCCAGCATTTGAGGTCTATCATGTTACTGATAGATATGGATTTATCCAGTAAGTACAAATAGTGTAGATTAGAAAAATATATATACCATATTATCATTTGCTGCATGTAATATTTTCATACATCGTTAGATCTCTTTATTAGGTTCTACATTTTGCTAGGCCTACATACAATTCCTAAAATGTTCTAGATCTTACTAGGCCTGCTTGTACATACAATTCCTATAAAGATGGATGTTAGCTACAAATTGTTGTTGTTTAAATAAATTGACATCTTTCTTGTTATAAATTTTGTGAGTGTGTAATTGTAAGCTTACATTCTAAATACAGGTACATATACAATATTGGTGTATTATAAATGATAATAAGTATTAACTGAACATTATATTTGTGTTTCAGTGACACGGCACTGCCAGAAGTTTCAGATGCCATAGAAACTAAGGTATGGGTTATTGATTTATATCACACAATTCTTATAATTAATTCATTGAATGGTATTTAATGTACTTAATGTATTCTTGCTATAAGTGCTATAATACAAGTCTTGCTGTTATGATGGCTGTTATAATGTCTGTTATGTTATTGAAACAAACGTCATGATAGGAGCTGCCCGGGCAAAATTTCCCTCATAGCACACTGTATGGCGTATGCCCGTCTTCATTAGCCCAGGTTAGGAGCAGAACAGTAGGACGTTAAACTCCATTTCATTTCATTTCTCATGATAGGAGTCCAATAACTAAACCCTACAATTATATATCACATATACCATCTTTTTTACAATTACATATATCACATAAAACAAATGTATAAGAGACATGATTAACCATCAAAATTTGTAATATTGAAATTACATTAAACACTGGGATATATCTATAACAAGACTGTATGGTAGCTAATTTCTTTGATATATCAAAACGATTGTACATTAATATTTCAGTAGACAATTTTTTGTCAGTTTTTGCTTTCACAGTGAAATATTATGACAGGTTAATATTGAGCATCAAGACTATTATATTCAGTTGTAGTCACGCCGTTTTAAAATTTCTAAATCAAAATACTGAACGTTAGATTGCAACTTAAATCTTATTTAATTTTAGAGCTGGAATTCAGTATAATTATTTATATTAAATGCCTTCAATTTCCCAGGTCCTGTAAAACTGTATAGCATTCTAGGCGTACAATTCAATTCTCTGTGCGATATGTCTGATAACATTACATCTGTGTGCAAGTCTGTCAACTTTCATCTTCACAACATCGGTAAAATACGCAATTTTATTGACCAGCCAACTGCTAAGATGCTTGTTAACTCCCCTGTAACATCCAGAATTGACTACTGCAACTCACTCCTATATAATTCTCCCAAATATCAAATTGGCCGTTTGCAGAAACTACAAAATAAAGCTGCAAGGATAGTTACTAGGTCGAAGCCATCTGAGAATATCAGTCCAATTTTGAAAGAACTTCACTGGCTCCCAATTAACTACAGAATCGAATTCAAGATTTTATCCATGACCTATTCAACTTTAAACTGTGAATTTGTCCCAGAATACCTAAAAGATCTCCTGATCCCATATACTCCACCCAGAACCCTGCGATCATCTTCAAGCAACCTGCTTGTTAAACCAAAAAATAAGACAATTGCAGGAACAGGAACCTTTAGCTATGCTGCTCCTGAATTATGGAATAGTTAAGTGAATCCCTAAAAAATGCATCATCATTAACTAGTTTTCGAAAAAACCTTAAAACCATCCTTTTCCAGAGTGCTTTCAAGTGTTGATTTATATATTGAGTGTTTTATATGTGCTACAATCGCTTATGTGTAAAATGTATTACGTTTGTGTATTTGATTATTTTTCGATTTTACGATTGTGTTTGTAAAGCGCCACTGAGCAACACTCGTGTTGGATATTCAGCGCTATATAAATGATCAATTATTATTATTATTGAGACTTAATATGACAAGCAAATATAAGTACAAAAGGCCGCACCAATTTTATTTTGTGTTGTTTGTTGTCTTGATAAATAAGTAACCCCTTGAATCACATGAAAGATGATTTGTTTAAAATTTCAAACTTAAAAATTCAGAACTAAACTTTTTTGAACTGCACAACTAAGTACTTTTGATTTTAGATAAGTCTTTTTCTCTAAGAAATTAGAAGGAAAATGTTTACAGGTGTTCCAAAAGAACAGAAAATCGAATTTGTTGGCCTAATCAGAGTTAACTGTCACAAGTTAAAGTTAGGAACCGTGAACTGGTCAATATTAAAGTGTATAATATTTCCTGCTGTTGTTGTATTTTGCAGATGAAACTACAAGAATTAGAAAGAACACAGAAATGGGTTAAAATGTTAAAAAATTGGGACAAATATTTCCCTGGTGAAAAGGTAAAAGTAAGAATGAGCTATGTATAACTTATATAACATTTACTAACAAAAAGCACAATGTATGTTTCAATTCCTTCATTAGTAGGGTTGTGATGATTACCAAAATCTTGAATTGATTAATTAGCGGCAGAAAAATGGAATTGCCCCTGATTAATCGGTTAAGAATAGATCGATTAATTATCTTGTGAAAAATCGAATTGCTCCCGATTAAAGATACATTATGGGAGATTAGATAAAGAGCTGGCAGTTCCCACTATAATAGTTAAAAACTAGATAATGTAAAGGGAATTTGCTGAAAATTTCAGTCGAATTGAGCTACTCTGAACCAAGAATTTAGCGATTGAATTTTGGGCCTAGCCTTGATCATCATTACTTATATCAGTACAATAAAATACATAGTCTTGATTATCCATTTCTTATTTAATCATGAATGAGAGGAGAGCAGAAGATCCTAATCCAGTAAATATCGCAGGCTAGCGATGACACCGAGAGTTGATTATGGTCTAGATAAGTTAACTAATGTCTAATTAATAATTTAGATAACATTTCTGGCCTAAAGAAAGACCTGCAATAAAAAAATTTAGCTCTTGCATAATATATGTTTAATTGGTGATGGATATATATCATTAGTAAAACCTAAATTTTTGCGAAAACTACCTGTCACTTGGTCTAAATTTTATGTATTGTTACATAAATTGACTGTTGTAAAGTTAGTTACTCACAAATTTATAAGCCAATTCAACTTTTTGTTTTAACTAGAAAAACTAATTAAACAAAATATGCTTGTTTTCATCTGTTTGACACTAGTGTATGGCATTATGAAATACCTATCTACACATTTATATCTATATAAATTTAGACACTAAGGCCTTACCTCTCCTCCAGCCTACATGTAAGTCGTATTAGGTGACCCAATTTTACTATTGCGGTTACAGCACCACCGTAAATACGCTAAAATGGAAACTCTTGTGGCTCATTGTTGGGTGTATTTAGCCATTTACAAAATTCAACAAAATTGAATAATTTCGTCAGAAGAGTATTTCATCAATATAGTTTTTATACGCCCACATTTTGATGAAACTTAAAGTATATGTCAATCTCCCAAAGATCTCGGTTCCTTTCGAAATTGGCATGTATCTGACCATAGCTTCATTGATTATGGCCTCTGATCGTACAAAATAACACGTTTTTAGCTTGTGGACACTCTAGAGGTCACAATTTTCATCAGATTTTGATGAAACTTGAAAGGTATGGTTATAACCCAAAGATCTTGGTTCCTTTCAATATTCGTGCATATCAGACCATAAATCCCTGGATTATGGCCCCTGATTGTCGGAAACACTGCTCTTTTTTTTTTAGCTTGTTCTCCATCCATCTCTTGCAAATTGTGGGTCCATCTTGCCTGGCAACCGCTGGTCTAGCAGTACCAACCATAGTGCAATTAATGTGTGATTGTAGCGACTACTCATTTTCTCAATCTCAACCTATAATCGGTTCAAAGTAAAAAGAGGATCGACTTCGACTAAATCGTAACAGCGTCACATTTTACTACAAAGCTCAGTTGAGTGTATATCCATCATGCATCGTAGTTTTTCTTTTGCTATTTTATCATTTTATTGCATTCATTGGAATAATTGTATGTTTGAATAGGTATCTTAAAAACACATCCAGATTGCAAACACAGAAAGCTAATTAGCTACTTTTGCTTAATCCCATTCCTGCCTCTGAAAAGCAAACTAAAATTTATATAAGCCAATCATGTGCTGAGATGTTCATGAACTATTGATGGCATTGGCAAGTCCCAATTATCATTTATTTATTTCATGACTTAGCTTTCTGATAGATATGATCAAAATTATTTACAGGAATGGATTTATTTTGCACAACTTTGAAGAACGAAAAGATTTTAGCGTTAAGTTTAGAAACAGATTGAAAGTGAATAACTTGTTGATAATTTGGAATATCACGCAGACTATTTTATCATGCTTTAGGTCATGAGGTCTGTCATTGATTCGAAGTGGCATGGTTTCAATTCCTAACTTGTATGTGAAACGGATTAGGGATGGCTATTCCCAACTTGTATGTGAAAAGGATTAGGGTCGGCTATTCCCAACTTGTAGGTGAAAAGGATTAGGGTCGGCTGTTGGGAACACTATGATCATTAGATATTAGATATTCTAATTAGAAAATGTCTACAGTCAGTAACAATCTTCATGTGTGAAAACTGTGAAATTGATTACAGTTGAACTACAACTTGTGTTAGAGATGTACATGGTAAATATATGTAATAATATTTAATGATTTTTGTAGTTTACAAGACGTGTATATAAAGGTATACCTGATAGATTACGAGGTGAAGTTTGGGTTCGACTACTGAATATTAATAAAGTTAAAGCTGAACAACAAGGCATTTATCAGGTAAACATCTAGTCAGAAATATATTTCTAATAGACATTAGAATATAATTTTCCTTTGTGTATCAATGACATCTTGTGGCATTGTTAGAAAGGGTTAGTCAAACAAAGTGTCAAAAGTATCAATGACATCTTGTGGCATTGTTAGAAAGGGTTAGTCAAACAAAGTGTCAAACAATAGTAAGTGCAGGAGGACCGCACTACACTCAAACAAAACCAAAAAAAAACAAACCTGTGATAAGACACAAACTACATAGACCTTGCTTGCAATAAAGTGAATGGATCTTGGCGCAAAATGTGATATCTGCAGCAGACCAAAATAGCTAAGTTAGTGATACAACTGGCAAGAAATATAGTCTTACTTATTAAACTGTCTCCCCATATCAGAAACAATACAAATGTACCTTTTCAAAGCAAAATAAATAACACTTTGTAGATCCTATTTCGTTTCATTTTATAGTTCAAAATTTCGTTTTACTTGTCTTTACTACACTTGGATCTGGAAGAGTTGTTATTTAACTTGTGTTCTGAATGGTGTCAGGGATAAACCAATGAAACGGTCTGTTACGGCGAGCTTTAGGCGTGTTTTTCATGGAACTGTGGGTAATCAACTAGTAACATCAATACTGATTGGTTAATCAAATGTCTGACGTCATAGGGTCATATGTCTGACGTCATAGGGTCATAAGTCGGTCTTTTGACCCCTGACGTGGCCTATCAATGTAACTTGTCAGATCTTCATGTAGGCCATCAAAAGTATAAAAAAACGAAACGAAATATAGATCTGTATTTTAATCAGATTGTTTTGCTTCAAATCCTTCTCAAACATTGTAATTGCGAAGTAATGCCCTGCTATAAAAATTCGATCAAACCGGGTCATGTTTACGTCACGTGACTTACCTCTTTTGGAAGTAAGAGGAGAATTCATTGAATACATAAGACGATGTTGTCTTTAATCGCTTACTATTTATTACAAATATCAAATCCTAATTAAATCCGCGTCTTTTTCCATCAATTTTTATCTCAGAAAGTGTTTTACGTCTAACTCTTCATAAAGTTTATCAACTTGTACATCAATTGCTCAATGTTCGCCTGTGACCTTTGACATCACAAGTGCAGAAATTCCTAATCATCGGGCTGTCGAGTAGGGGAACCCTTACATTTTTGTCCTGTATACGTGACATGAGTGTTTTTCGGGGAATCCAGTATTTTTCTAGTAAGATTGGATATCTCTACTTTCCATATATACCAAAATTGCCATACTTTTATTGGAAATAACCACCCGATAAATACTTTTCCGGGAACCCATCTTTAAACATAACAATATTAACCATTGAAATATATTTTTATCTCGAAGGACAGACATGTAGATATGTAATGATTAAAATAATTGTACTTTTCAAGTGTTATCCTTACATTGACACAAACGATGCCACTTGGAAAGTTTTTCAATTCAAATGGATTCACTCTTTGACACAGGATTGCATCAGCCCTACGATTTGATAAGAAAGTGTATTCTTTTATTTCCAGCGAATGAGGAATCGTGCTAGAAATCGGTCAACCTCAATTCGTCAGATAGATTTAGATGTTAATAGAACATATAGAAATCATATCATGTTTAGAGAAAGATATGGTGTCAAGTAAGTTTATCTCTATTTTCTTAACAAATGTGATAGGTAACATGTATGGAGCCGGGTATGCCTATCAATATTGTCCTGATTTAACATTTTTTAAAATGCCACTCCGTGGTCCAACAGATCATGCTGTGGGTGACAGGTGTGTTGGTATGCAGTCAGTGAGATCAATTGGATGGGACAAGAATAAGGGTAGTATGTGTTACCTTGTGGATTTTTCTCATGTTTTCTCGTCCCTCTCACTGCTAAGGAGCCTCGAGTACAAATAGATAAATAAAATATTCCATATTTTAGTCCAGAAATTATTTAGCTCGCGGGATCAATTGTATGCGACGAGAATACAGGTAACTTTCTCAAGTTGTCTTGAAAGGATCTAGTTGTGTTGAATGGATGTTAAAACCCATATTCTAATGTATGTATAATCTATTACAGACAACAAGCTTTATTCCATGTATTAGCAGCGTACTCTGTTTATAATACAGAAGTTGGATATTGTCAAGGAATGAGTGAAATAGCAGCTCTTCTTCTAATGTATCTTAATGAAGAGGTAGGTAATCATTGTTTTTATGTCATTACACTGTTAATGAAATTTGAAATTGTCTTTGTTTCGTAAAATCAGAAATTGTCTGTATTGTGAAAGGCTATTTGCATAACTTTGTATTTAGGCAAACTTTGATACACATCTGTATTAAAGCCACTGCTTTTCATTTGAGGAATTTTGAATCCCTTTCAAACTAAAATATTGTGTGGATAATCTCCAAAAGGTAAACAATCTGATTAATACACAGATCCGATTTCATTTCGTTTTTTTATTGTTCAAAATTTTGTTTTATTTGTCTGTACTATACTAGGATCTGGAAGAGTTGTTATATAACCTGCATTCTGGATGGCGTGACGGATTAGCCAATGAAACCATCTGTTACGATGACTTCTTGGCGTGCGATGTATGGAACTGTGGGTAAACCACTAGAAACGTCAATCCTGATTGATTAATCAATGTCCGACGTCATAGGGTCAAAAACTGTCAGTTCGACCTCTGACACGACTTTTTACTACAACCGGTCAGATCTTCATGTAATGTAGGCCATCGAAAGTATAAAAATACGAAACGAAATATAGATCTGTATTTTAATCAGATTGTATATTAAAATGGTATATGCTACTATTATTGCAGGATGCGTTCTGGAGTTTATCACAGTTGTTTGTTAGTGACAAACATACAATACACGGTAAGTTCTTGTCAAATTATTCCAAACTATATACTAAATTTTTTGCTCGAAAGATTATTTTTCAATGTCATTCTGAAGAAGGGATTGGAGTAGTGCTGGTGTTGTATATTAGGGTGAATCAATGTACCACACAGTTCACTGTTACAAAATACACTGTACAATTGTGATACCTGTCATTGATTGTGACTCATTTTCTTTGATTAATTTATTTTGGATATTATAATATTTTGCATGCATATTAAAATTGTGTCAAAATCTTTATTTCCATATTTTTTGCTGTTTTCAGGTTTCTTTATTCCTGGCTTTCCAAAGCTGCTAAGATTCCAGGAACATCATGATTCAATCCTGAAGAAATTTGTTCCAAAAATACGGCGCCATTTGGTAAATATATGTTAGAAAGTAGTTCTGGGCCAAATCACCTTAATTATAGATTTATGTCATAATGAACTTATTCAATTAAATATTCATTCTAATTGAAGGCCAACTGTGATATTATCTCTTGATCTAGGAAAGAAATGTGATGATTTTCCATATTTCTGTGTTTATGATTTATTTCATTGAAACGTTATTGTGTATTTCAGGAGAAGAATGATATCTATGCTTCCTTATATACAATAAAATGGTTTTTACAATGTTTTTTAGATAGGGTAAGTAACCGTTACCTATTTAATATATCCTGTTGCTGTCGTGAATACAGATACATTGAATATGTAAAATGTATGATCTTTTTATATGAGGGAACTGACCTCTTGATTTTAAGCTTATCAATAGAATGAAATAAAAGTAAGAATTCAAATATAAACTGGGTTTTGGTGACATCTGTTTTATAATTCTGCGGAAATATAATATTTAATTTTTGGAGAAAACAAACAAAATCACTACTTTTCATTAAACTAATTCTGTGTCCATGACAAAACCAAAGAACCATCACCTAGGTAAGAAGTTGAAATCCATTCTGTTCCATTCAGAAAGTTTCACAGGATAGAGTGTCTAGAAAAGAACAGATGGGACTTTCCACCATCCCTCCACCTTAAAAAAACCAACAGGTCCTGTGTACAGTTGTGGTGCATTAACTTGATGAAGAGTTGACATAAATGCAGCTGTCCAGGCAAAATTTCCGTCATAGCATACTGCATGGAATATGCCCATCCTCGATAGCCCTGTTAGTGCAGAAAGATAGGACCTTATACCCCATTTCACTTCAATACCAGTCCATTATAATAAGTTTATTTATTTTGTTGTTTTTTTCCAGACTCCGTTTCATCTAACGCTACGATTATGGGATATATATATGTTAGAAGGGGATCGATTACTAGTTTCTATGTCCTACTGTATAATCAAAGTACATAAAAGTAAGTCGTTTTTGTAAGCTTATATTTCATGTGGGAGTAAATTGTTGTCACCCGTGTACATCTGGCCATTCCTATAAATTACTTGCCAGGTTATTGAGTTTTTGCTGTGATTGTTTAGCTTTTCTTTAGGAGGCACCATATTAAAAACAACTTTTGGAAGAGTTACTACCCTTATACCTGCCAATTTTCTTTTTTAAAATTTGCTAGGAGTGTTCTAAGGAGAAACCATATTGAAATACTGTTCTTATCACTACAACTTTATAAATATGGAGTTCCAGGGCTTATTCGGCTAGTCGTAAGGAAACAAATCAAATTCATACACATGCAATAATTGTTTGCAGAGTTATTGGCCCTGTCAAGGAAACCTTGCAAACTCTCTGCAGGTCCAGTTTTTTTTGGGTGCAGAGGTGCCACCTTCATTATGCTACCCGTGGCATATTGTCTTCCTGAATGTGCCATGTTCACATAAAACTAATTATGTATCAAAGTGTTATTCAGTATCCATGCTATTGAAAGAAAAAGTACAGTCAGAATATGTTGGTTCCATCTTTTAATTTTAAATAAGGAGTAACCTGAGTTACAGCTGTGTATCTCTTCTGGTTTCCTCCAGTTGTAACAGAACCAAACATGCAGATTAAAGAATAAATAGTCCTGCAATTATCTAGTTAAACCCTTTCTCTTTTTTTAGTCACTTGGTACAAATACTAACTGTATATTTCAGGAAGAATTGCTAAAATGTCGATGGATGATTTATTAGAGTTTTTTCAAAGTAAATTGGAGAAAGAGTTTTTATATGAAGATGATATAGTTATAGAACAATTACAGATCTGTATGGAAGACTTACGTAAAGCTAGAATGGATGCTCCGCCCAAACCTAAGGTTAATGAACGACCAACTTTACCATTTGGTTTAGATATAGAACCGAGCATTGAACAATTAATAGGGCATAGGTCAGCTGAAACTGTTGATGAACATTTTAGACGTAATCCTAAGGGTGGTAAAACAGCCTATTTACGGAAACGTAATGGTAACTTATCAACCCCAGAAATGTCCCGAAGTCGTGGAGATACCCGTTCATTGCAATCCAGTCGTTATTCAGAATACTCGGTTGACGATAAGTCCTCTTACTATGATACCGCAGCAAATTCGAGGGTGTCTTTAGCGGATTATAGTGCACGTACCTCAGCACCAAGTTCCCGCACTTCCTTTGCAGATGCATCTGATGTTGCTAGTATGAGTCTTCAGTTACAGATTGATGAGGATGAGATGTTTGAATATGATAACACAGCCACACCTGTACCAGCTACCACACCAGATGAAACAATTCCGGGTCATAGTTCACATCAAAATGGGAATGATGAACAGATGGATTCAGATACTAAATCACCGTCAGTTACGTCCGATTATGATAATATAAACGGTATTTTGTGCGAAGAACAAGATAGTATGGTTGTGAATGACTATGATGGAAGATTTCTGTCAGGTATGCCACTAAGTAAATCTGACGGGTTAATCACTTTTTCTAAAAATAGTCAAACAACATTTGTTAATGGACGAGATGGAACCTTAACACGCCAGTTGAAATCTACTAAAACTGACCACGATATACAAAGGTCTGGTTTTAAGGAGCGGAGTGAAGAGAGGGAATCAGATGCACAGAATGGATACTTTATCGAGAAGAATTATTCCCGACAAGTATCAGAACAAACAACCACTCACACGAAAACTGTTCAGTCACGTACCCATAAAGAAACCATGTTTTTGTAATTTTAATAAGCAATTCGGTCAAACCTGATATTATTATTATTGTGTTTATGTGTTCAAATGTAATGCAGGGTTATTGCGAAATCTTTTTATTTCAAGTATTGATATTGGTCGTAGGAATAGTAGGGATTGATTTGTTGCATTTTAAAGAGCATGATTGTGATCGGTATTAAATGGAATTCTTAGGTTAGTATTTAGGTTCTAATTCCGTTTTTGACATCATTCATTTTCCTCCTTTATGACCATAACTTACTCATAAATCTGTTTCATTTATACATGTTGTGTGTATCGATTCCAAATATTTGGTAATCTCCATTTCAATAAATAACTTCTGGTTAGCTATATCTATATGATTAGTCATGATTAGCTGGTATTAGTTTTTACTTTATAAACAGGATGATTTAGTTAGTTTAAAGCAATAAATGGAGTTTGGGATGACGATCAATATTCACCTCATTAGTATTATTTATTAGCACAATATTTATACATGTTCCAGGGTCCTGATTCTATGAAGTTAGGATCTAGGAAGAAAGATTATATTTATGTACATGTAAGGTGTTTATACAATAAACATACAAAATTATTTTTTTTATAGCAGTGTGACAAATCATAAAATATTCATACATTAACAAATATATTTAAAAAAAAATTGAAGAATGAAGATATTTTTGGTATTAAAAAAAAAAGATAGTCAGAGTAAAGTACAACTTTTATATTAACATTATTTTATCATATTTTATAGAAAAATAAACAGATATGGTTTTAAGGATTAATAATAAATGGGAAGATTTGCGTTAAAAAGTTTATTACATTCATCTGATGATTATTTATCGTTAACATCAAAAGATGCACATATATTAATTTAGATAGCAGTTTAACTCATTGCTAGAATTCATTTTTACTTCAAGAGTAATTTTCTAAATGTTTGCACTTTCTTATTGGCACTATTTATATTGAATAGTTAGTGTTGGTACATGTATATATACCTTACAAATCGGTACATTCATTTCTTTGTCTATTTCATTTCAAATTTCAAGATCAGTGTTCTATAATGTGATCTGTTCTAATATTACTTTCGTTTTTATGCTATATCTATATTTAGTATGTATATATTGTTATATCTGTATAGCTGTAGGAGGAAAGGAATAACAATAGACATAGATGTGATATATGTATATATTATATAACGATGAGATTATCAAAGGGATTAAGTTATTAGATAACGAAATGTTCAAATATTTGTGCCATATGTGTGTACATATAAAGTGGCATTTAGTTGCTATCGCTGTACACTACATATCATCATGGATGATCAAGACTTTCATTGTTTCATCCAGATCAGATTAATGGTGTTATCCAGGGCGATATGGTTTACAGAGGTAATTACTAATGAATTAAATGATGGAATATTTGATTAAATAATATTTATTTGTTACCACTGAACTACTATATTATATTTGACGATTAAATACCACGCTTACAGCCATTCTCTTATCCCTTGGTTTTATATTACTGTACATTCACCATTTCTGGTGTAAGGCTGCCAGATATCCTTCCTACACAGTAAACCTAAATCAACTCATGACTACCCAGGCTTTCAGAATACATAGCATTTTATGTGCTTTCAGTTTCTGAGCATGATTAACCCTTTAACACTTGGTATATCTAAATATTGACTAACACCTTTAGACAAAAGTGAAAACCTGTATGTTTCTGTAATGATCAAACCCATCTTTCACCGCCCGAGATATGTGAATAGCACTCCATGTTACAGGACCATATACTACTAGGTCTTTGGGACGCCACAGCTGTTCATGTGACTTGGGAAGGTTGGGGTGGTATAAGGAGCACTAATTACCGCCGATTTTCAGGCAGTCTAAGTGCTGATGGGAAAACCGGTTAGAATCAAAAAGAAACAGTATGGAAATGGAAGGTTCTATAAATATAGGTTTCTCAAGACACCAGAAATTGAGAAAGTAATATGGAACCAATGGGTACAGTTATGGCTAGGAATACAAACAGACTCTTATTAAGTCTAAGAGTTTTATAAAGATGGCAAGTCTTTCAAATTATATATTGAAGTCAAATCCTTCAGCTTTGATATAAAGTTTGTATTTATATATATATTGCACCTGTGATGAAGTTGATAGGATTTATTAGTTTAAATGGTACAGGTAGTTAAAAGTTGTAGAACTGTTAGAAAATTATCCCTAGACACAATTGTATATATTTGCATCTGTCAAAAGAATTATTCTGTAAAAAAAAATCCAACATGAAATAAATAGTCATGACAACAAAACAAGATTTTTGAGATTGCATTTTTAGATGAATAGGTTGAAATTAAGAATGGTTCATAGTTTGAAATTAAGAATGGTTCATAGTTTGAAATTAAGATTTTTTCATAGTTTTAAGATTCAGATTAAAATTAAGAAAGATTCATAGTTTGAAATTAATATGGATTCATAGTTTGAAATTAATATGAATTCATAGTTTGAAATTAAGATTGATTCATAGTAATTCATAGTTTAAGATTCTGATTGAAATTAAGAATGATTCATAGTTTGAAATGAAGAATGATTCGTATTTTGAAATAAATGATTCATAGTTTGAATTAATAATTTTAAGATTTAATTTGAAATTAGAAATAATTCATAGTTAAAGATTATTGACCACATATAAAACCATGATGTAAATATAATAATGACTTCATCAATCTGTTAATATATATGTCTTTTTATATACAGGTTTTATTAGAGTGCCAATATCATTGTTATTATTTTATAGGGCTTAGCTGCACATCTTGCTCAAGCACTAGTTGATGATTTTGTTTTCCCTTTTTTAAAAGAGTAAACTTTTTTTTTTTTGTTCTTACTGGTTCATTGCTTGTTACATTTGTTAGTGAGATATAAGAGTCACTTTGGTATGACACAAGGTTCGTTTACCATATGTTTACAAGATGACCATATATCAGGTGAAATTCTATTAAATCGTTGAAATCTTGGTGCATTATCTTATGTTATAACGAAATATATTTACACAAAGATCTACAGATTATTTTAAATTAGTGGCCTTTTCCATGAAAACTTAAATGATTGTAACTTAACTCCTTTTTTTAAGAAAAAATGGTAGCTCACAATTGTATTCAGGTGCTGTTTTTAAGTTGCAATCTATTTATGGAGATTTTAGAGTTTTATGAAAAAGGCCCCTAATTAGTAAGTTGCGTATTTAAATTAGTTAAGATGAGACCATTTTGTTTTCTGTATTGGATATTTTTTCTCTACATCATTATAATTTACTAAATACACTCACTGTAGGTTTATATTAGCTATAATCCTGATGTCAGATTATTAAAGGGACTCTGTGAACCTTAACATGTGTAATAGCAATATCTAGCTAGTGTATTAGGTCATAGATTTATTTTGTGTTAATTTTTGTGGCAGAATTGACCCCTTATTTGATCATGTCCAGTGGAAAACCCTTGTTTTCACTGTCTTTATATTACATCATATGTGAGATTTTCTCAAAATTTTTGACAAGAAATATCATAAACATTGTTATATCAATGAGATTTAAGAACTATGCAATGTTTGATCTCACCCTCAACAAAACTATAATCAACATCGTCATATCTTCATTTATTAAGGTCCATACACACCATGAGATTTTTCATAGGCAATATTGGGATGCCTCAGTGTCTCCAATTTCTGTACCTCTTCCCCAGGGTCCTGTATGAAACGTTTGACAGCAAAATTTTGATCCATGAATGTAAGTAGTAAGTTTGCTTGCCTAATAAGAGAGTAAAGATAACATCCTGGTTGTGTCAAGTGGATGTTAAACCCAATTTCTCATTCGCTTGATCATGGTCGTTGATTCTTATCACACCATTTTGTTCGCCGCCTTTCAAAATTTTTTATTCTAATTGAGTGATAGTGGTGAAACCTTGTGTATTATTTCAATACACCAATACCTTGACTAATTTCGATGATGAGCATTTTCTCCTTGGTTGAGACTTTGGAATACAATAACTCTCCTTCTAATTGAGCTAGAATGTTCAAACTTGGTGTAGGTGTCTATTAGGTGAATGCCTTGAGTTTGTTTGATCATGCACATTTCCAAGCAAGGGTACACACAGATAAGTAATTTGATTGGTTGAGACTTTAGAACACAATAACTTTGGATCAGATTGGGTGAGAGAGGGGTGAAACTCAAAGTGTAGATTCATTATATTAATACCTTGACTAAGTTCAATGATGAGAATGTTCTGCTTAGGCTAAGTAGCGATAAGCAATTTGATTGGTCAAGACATTAGAACAACAACTCGACTTTTAATTGAGGTAGAATGTTTAAACTTGGTTGTTTCATTGTTCATTACGTGAATGTCTTGACTGAGTTCAATGATTAACATTTTCAGCTAAAGCTAAACAGAGCTAAGCAATTTCATTGGTCGATGCTTTGGGACATTTTCTGCTAAGACTAAGTATAGATAATCAGATTGATTGTTCAATACTTTTCAAAAAGACAAATGTGCAATTAATTAATATGTGCAATCTATTTATATTGGGATTGCAGCAGGGGCCATCAGCCTTGTTGCTGGCTTGTTTACCATAAACTATGGAAAAGGATTGCCTGTGAGAAATTTTATGGTGTTTCTGCCTGAAGGATATTTTAAACAATTTGTTTTAAACCAGTGTAAACAATATCTATGCACAATCTGTTATGTGTATTCTTTCTTTTTATTAAATTTTGGTTTGTTTTTTTATTTTTATTTATCAGCAATTCAACCTTTATAGATAATATATACAATTATACTGTAGAAATGTAGATTAATATATTAGAGTTTAATGATTATAAAATGTGTATTTGTTGTGAGAAATCATCTACCATATTCATTCTGTTTGTATATGCATATCTAAATGAAGAGCTTTTTTTTCTAAAACAGGATGACTCCATGCTAGATGTTTAAGAAAAATACCAATTGCAAAATGATTAAATCTAAGTGAATTTAATACATTATTTCATTAATACTGCTTAACAGCAGGACTTTCACTTCATGATCGTGCCAGTTTTCCAATTTTTGACATATTTTGTTTACCTTGGAACGGCAAGATGTAGCATTATGCCATTCTTTTCTATATATTTTTCAATCTTTTTACACATAAAATCTATAAATTTAACTCTATCTCCTTTTGTATGGTTGATTTCTTTTAAATTAAAATTCTATGGCATGTAATTTGGCTGACAAATAAGTTCTTAAGCTGGTCAATTTCTCTGCCAGTTGGATAGTCAAGACTGGCAAAAATGGGTGAAATGAGAGCACTGCTGTTTTAACTTACGTGATATATAGAAATTGGTTTGGAAAATGTAAGATTTTAAATGTGATTTATCACATTTTGGGAAAGAGCTGTTCCAATATTGTTATGCCACTTCATGTGCTGTTACTCCATCATAGGTTGTAATTACTGTACATTATAAAAATGTGTCATCCTAACAAACTGAAATATTTCCAATTGTAATCTCTGTTTGAATAGTTTAAATGCAAAATGCAATACCTGTAAATCTATTTAAGTTATTTTGAGCAAGGATTGTTTGTTGTGGGGCATATAACTTCTGCTTACTGTAAAACTACAGGATGGAAACTACGTGTAACATCTTACACTGACCAATATTTTGTCGCTGTGCAATTATCACATTTTTAGTGTATTCAACCTTTTGCTTTTAACCTCTTCAATAGTTCAAAGTCAAACAGGACACTTAAATTTTATGTTTCTATGATAAATTATCTGTTCAGATATATGATGTGCACTCTATTGATCTTTTAAAGGTTGTGTGAATTTGCTTGTTTGTAAAAAGTGTTATTAATGTCATTTTCCATTTTTATTCCCTTGTATATGATTACAGTAGACATTAATTTTGAATAAAATCTTGATGTTGGTGGGGTTCATTTATTTGTAAAAAAAACTGCCATATAGAGAACAAAAACATGTATATCTGTACTACAATACAATAGTATATGTTTGTTTTCTTGTATTATATATTACTATTAGTCATTTATTTACTTTTATAGATACATGGCCATCTGAAAATAACTGCACTTTCCTGAGATGTTTTTCAAAATTATGTAACTGATCTTTATTTGACCTTGATCATTTAAGAGATTCTGTTACCTAAATGTCTTGAATATTAGTTTTCAAACACTGAAAAAAAGCTTTACAATGAGAAGGAGGAAAATTCTTCCATGTCTACTCTGCTCGTTAACTTTTAGACTAAAGTAGTGAACTGATATGTGTAAGAAATTATTCCTTCAAAATACACAATCCTATGAAATATATTTGGGCTACTGTTTATTACTCAGCAAGCCTCTTTAGATTCTTGGGTCTTTAGTAATGGTTGAAGCACCTCGCTGTAATAAACAGTAATTGTATTCTATATTGTGTTGTTTGAATCTCCAGTCTTTTGCTAATCAAATATATCGAGTTTGGCCATGGTCACTGCCAATGACAAGTACAACCTTGTTGTTACTTCTGTCTAATGTAATAATGAATTAATAAAAACTAGTTTAAATGACATTTAGTAATTGACAAACATGAATAAATAAAGATAACTGTATGGAATAACAATTACTTAGCTTTTAATATTATTTATTATTGAGGAAAACTAGAGAATCCCAGTCGCTAAAATAAAAGCTAAGTATTTGTTATTTCATTTAGTTATCTTTATTTATTTCATTAATAGATTTTTATATGTAGGCCTATCTTAAAGTGAGAAATAATGAATACAATACCACGTATGTAGGCCTATGTTTAGTTGTATAAAACTATTAGTAATTGTTATGTATTTGTGTATAGGTTTTTTTTTCATCTGTTTACATTCTTACTCTCATTTCTTTGTTATTATTTATAGTATTATGATTTGTATATAATTCCGAGTACTGTATGTAGTTTCATCAGTTATTTTAATAGTGTATTACATATCATTTAATTTCTGTCTTATGTAGATATATGTATGTAAATAGAGTACATCTATACAGCTAGATTTGTCTCTTACTATACTATAGTGTACAATCCTGTGGAAGGTGACATTAATATTTACAAAACATTTTAACCCTTAAGTTCTAGAAAATTTTATATATTTTTTTGTTGGGATCTGCAGTGGCTTGAGAGGTCATAACGGCAACACAGTTGATAAAAGGAATCTCTATTACCAGATTGTACAGTTCTAGAAAATTTTATATATTTTTTGGTTGGGATCTGCAGTGGCTTGAGAGGTCATAACGGCAACACAGTGTACACTATGGTAAGACACAACTAGGGTATCTTACATCGGTGTTACAATGGTCTGTAACTGGGAAATGTTACACTATGACTATTGTTATATTAAGATGTTATAGAATTAAATACATTTTCTTATATTAAGTGTATTAGATATACTGTAAGTTTTAAGAAACAATTGGAATATCATTTAATAGATAAAAATATAAAATCCATTATGATTTATTGCATGAAATGCCAACCACATTAGATTTAATTATGAGATTTCTGCTAAAATATTTAAGTTTGTTACACAATAATATTTTGGGAAGTATACATGTGGCGTAGTATGGGCACAAAATTCTGAGACAGCGCAAAATTTGAAAAGAAAAAGAAAGTGGTAATAATAAATATTGGAATGAAGGAAGTTAGTGACACCGGTCCATAGGATAGGGGAGGCAGCCCAAGCTACGTCACTGACTAAGGTAGTTGCTGTTTCACAAAAATCTAGAATATTATGCATGAAATTATAATCCATTTGAAATTCTGGTTGTGTTTTTATATATAACCTACATAATAAGAATTATAATTCATGTAGCCCAGGCCTCTGTTGCATTTTATTATTGTCTTTATTTAAATGCATATAGTCTAGATTACTAAACTTAATTGTACACAAACTAAACTAAAGCACAACCAATGGCTGGGTAATCTAGATTATATTTCAAATTTAGAAAAAGCTAGTTGTATATTTACTCTTTGATTTTGTACATTTATCAGCAAAGATTTCAACTCGATGTCATCGAACTTGTTATTTAGAACATTATTATTATTACACTAAACAAGGTTTTCATTCTTTAGTCATCATTTTGTTATTTTTTTCTTGAGTTTACCTGATGAATTAAATGATGTTTACGTCCTACTGTTGTGCTCTGATTGGGCTAATGAAGACGTGCGTACGCCATACAGTGTGCTACGATTGAAATTTTTCTTGCAAGCCAACGTCAACGCAGGACCTCAGTTTTTCATACCATCCAAAAGATTAGGCACCGACTTGCGTCACTGACAAGGGGGAATTGAGTTTATGTATTTTTAAAACTTAGATAAAGGTGTAGATTGATGTTAGGCCTGCATGGTCTGTAAATCGATAATTTATCTGTGGGCAGGGATCAGTGTCAGATTATAATTGTGTTACATAGGTGCCCACAGAATTAATGTATCATATTTCACATACTAATTTCTTTTTGATCTAAACCCTTTTGGTGGGAAACCAAGGTGGATTCTCTAGTCTTCAACTCCCCTTTCAAGGTAGCAAAATGTACCCCAGCCCCCCTTCCTCATTGTGTCAAAAGGATTGATAATAGACGATTATCTAGGGGAATCATCTTTTATATACTAAAATGGTTCAAGGATGTACCTGTCTTCTTTGTTTTACTCCTTTAGACCTAATATCTGAGGTAAGATTTTACTAGCTAACAAAAGAAGTGGTTGCAAGAAGTGAACAGAGATTATCAAGGGCCATAATCCAGAAAGTTACAGTCTGATACATGTCAATATCGAAAGAAACCAAGATTTTTGGGATATAAACCTATTAAGTCTCGTCATAATCGGATAAAATTTGTGACCTGTAAAGTGCCCACAAACAAGATGTGAACAGGCGAAGTGATGACAATTTATGCCCACATTTTCATGTTATCACCCCTATCAGTAAGACATTTATATGTATTAATAATTATTTAAATTAGTAAAACGGTGAAGCCTGTCAAATTTCAACAATTTCTATTAAAAACTTTGTTGAACCTTGTGAACACTCTAAGAAAAAAGTTACTATCCCAGTCTGTATGACATTTATATGTATTATTTAAATTGTATTATTTAAATTACGGTAGTAAAACACAGAAACCAGTCACTTTGCAGAACCTTGTGAATGGTTGAATGTCAAGAGTTATCATCCGATATGTATAAAAGCTATATGCATTATTTAAGAAAATAAAACGGAGTAGCCTATCAGATTTCAACAATTTACTTTAATAACTTCTAGAGCTTTAACAGCAAAAGTTTTTATGCATTATTTACATAAGTAAAGTGAAGAAGACTATGTAATTTCAATAATTTCTTCCAGAGTTATGGCCCTTGTTATCAGATCTGTATGAATATGATATCAATGTCTTGGAAATGCCACTATTACTATACAAAAGCCTAGATATGCGACAACCTTTGTTGACTGCTCTGACGATTTAGCTGAGGTGGGCATATGTTTCATTGCTTGGTAACCTATCTTTTCACTTGCTAGGCCCTCCATCGTGCACCACTGACAAGGGGAAATCAGACTGGAAAATCCCAGAAAGTAAGCCAGCGTGACTCCAAATGGTAGTTGTAAGGAGAAGGATTTTGAGATTAATTAATCAGTGGCTGCCAGGCAGGATATGCGCACATTTTGCAAGAGATGGACAGAGGACAAGCTAAAAACAAAAACGATTTTTTGTACAATCAGGGGCCATAATCCAGAAAGTTATGGTCTGAAATACACAAATGTCAAAAGGGACTCAGATTTTTGGAATATAAAGATATGTTTTAAGTTTCATTCAAATCGGATAAAAATTGTGACTTCAAGAGGGTCCATAACCTTTGCGTACAAAGAGCGGCCATTTTGTCAAGCGCTTTTATTTCGCTTTTACCGAAATTCCAATTCAACCTTCATTATGGTGGTGGAATAGTGATATCTAAACGGTTTTTAAAATCGGAAAAACAATTGTGACCTCTAGAGAATCTACAAGCTAAAAATGCGATTTTTCGACCAATCAGGGGCCATAATCCATGATATTACGTTTGGATATACGTGTGTTTATCAAAAGGAACCAAGATCTTTATGATAAAAAAATATATTTAAAATTTCATCCAAATGGGATAAAAACTGTGGTCTCTAGAGGGTCCACAACCTTGATATACCATATTTTACACTATTTGCATAAAAGGGGCGGCCATTATGTCCGTCGTTTTTTTCCGATTATCACGAAATTGGAACTCAACCATCATTAGTGTACAGACATCTAACTGTGATATTTTCACACGTTTTTTTTTTTAAATGGCATAAAAATTGTGACATCTATAGAGACCACAAGTTCAAAATGCGATTTTTCGTACAATCAAGGGCCATAATTCTGGAAGTTAAGATCCAATATGCGCGAATATCGAAAGGAACCGAGATCTTTGGGAGATAGACCTACATTTCAAGTTTCGTCAAATCGGATACAAATTGTGACCTGTAGAGTGTCCACAAACAACGGACGGACGGACAGTGGCACAACAATATACATCCACATGAAAATGTGGGCGTATAAAAACTATAAACAGAACAAAATCCAGTTTATTTTTTTATTAATTACAACAAAAAAAATACGATACATTTAAATAGAATGTTTTCATAAAATTTCTTTCAACAAAAAATATCCACAATACTAAATACTATTAAATTCATTAAAAGATAGGCTGCCAAGCAACAAAACATACGCCCACAGCAGCTAAATTGTCCGGGGAGTCAACAAGTGTTGTCTCATATTTTTATAATACACTAAAATCTGATTAAGAGTAACAACTCATGAAGTAATTATCAGAAAACTATTAGAATTTGTTTGGTTTTTATAAAGTTCTGCCCCATGCTAACGTTTAGTATACAAAACTTTTAATATCATGGATTTAGCTGTTCTAGTCATAAAAGTTAATTTAAAAAATCAATATACTTGTTCGCCTCAAGATCTTAAACTCTATGTATCAATCTGAAGTCAATCGGAAATCATTGAAAATCAATGGGATTCTTGTCTCATGACCTCAAACACTGTGTATAAATTTAAAGTCAATTGGATATTAACTTTAGCCTCTAGAGTCTAGCGCATTTACAAGATTCTTTGAAGTGATCAAGGGCCACAACTCTGGCAGCAATTATCGAAAATCACTGAAAATGAATAGACTTATTCGTCCCATGACCTTAAACACTGTATAAATTTAAAGTCAATCGGATATTAACTTTTGCCTGTAGAGCGTCCACAAGATTTTTCAAAGTGATCAAGGGCCATGACTCTGGCAGTAATTATTGGAAATTAGCCTCTAGAGCGTCCACAAGCAATTGTGGACGACGGACGGACGGGGCGATGACAATATACATTTCAATGTGGCCGTATAAAAACCAGAGGTGGGAACAAGTCCAAGTCAAGTCCCATGTCGCTGACTTTTGTACCGAGTCAAAGCCCAAGTCTTGTTCAAGTTGCCAGTTCATCAAATGAGTCGGCAATCACGATGAAGAAGACAAGTTAGAGTTATGTTCCCTCACCACGACATAAATCCTTAGCACACTAATCAGCAGTGAATATTCGCTAGATTGCTACAATCACTGATAAGGATGACATCGATGCGACTTAATGAGACACAAATATTAACTTTTTTCCTCCGACAAATTAAATTCTAAAACATTTTTTTTGATGTATTAGAAAAATAAAGATGTCTGGCATATTTGTAGGTAAAAATTATTTCCTATTTAGTGTAAATGGGTATTAAAATGAGTAAAGACTCCATTCTGCCCGAACCAGTAAGGTCTTATGGAAACAATGCATGCGCCACTGAGCCAATGATTGACGCAGCCTGATGAGACGTCACGTGTTGAAGGTAGGCATCTTTTACAGAGATATTAGACGATTTTCGTAATCCTCTGTGAAACAGTTGGGTCTTTAATGTGACTTGATTATGTTCTCACCTCTGTCAAAAACATCTTAATTATGGCCATCACAAATATATTAAGTTGTATTTATGAAATATGCATTAAAAACTTTCATATAATATCTAGAATTTAATTTTACAATTAAATGCCATTTCCAATGGAATCTGTTTATCCTCCCGAATTTACACATGGCATTTTGAAAAAGCGTGCTTCATTTATCAAGTTACAATAAATATAGCTTTATTAAATCACATATCAGCTCTCATTTTTGATTTTATTTACAATACATATATGAAGAAAATTATCTGGATAACTAAAATGTTCACTCAACCATAAAACTGGTGTTTCTAATGGTGGTTCGATACCCTGTATTAAAACACGCCTGTTCTTCAAAACATCTGGAATGTAAAAAAAGGCTTAATTTTTGAAAAGTACAAAACTCTTTAATTTTTGCAAAGAACAAATCTGCAAATGTTGACTGTCGCACAGTTACAGGATGATTGCAGAACAAAAAGTCCATCTTTCCTAGTTTGATTCATAATGTGTATTTATAACGGAAAACAGATTAATATGAAGGAAGCTAACATTCGCTAAAAACTATGTGCATAAAATAATAAATTCGTTAAAATTACAGCCTTATATTATTACACAAAGTTGCAAAGAGCCATGTTTATGTGTCAGAGGTTGCTCTATAGCGTGTCACATCGTTTTATAACAAAGGGACATAACACCTCAAAGTTAACTGATTAGAAATCCTAAATAAAACGTCTGGTTGATAATTGTAACCTCCAAGGTGTAAAAAAACAACACAAGTAGCATAACTCAACAGGTAAAGTCAATAATCATTGAAAATCAAAAGCCTTTTTGTGTAATAGCTATAGACATTTTATAACTGGGGTATGAAAAAGATAATACATCATATTTGAGTATAAATCATTGTAGTGGTATATAATATTTACTTACCTTCTCTATTATCTGTAGATTCCCCACCATTAACAGACTTTAATAAATCAGCCAGTGTATTATAATCACCTTCTTCTGTCACTGGTCGAAATAATTTCTGTATATATGGTCTGTCTATCTACAAAAACAAAGCAGTCAAGTACAAGATAATGTTATTCTTAGCATCAGCTGCAATAAAAAAAAAGTGTGCTACGATTATTGAAATACATGCTTTCTCTGTAAGCAATGTTATTTCTGTAAAGCACATGATTGAGAGAGTAGTTGCCCAAAATCATGTTAATTACTCAATAAATCCTTAACTTTATTAACACAATTCAAAATATTATCTTGCTCTAGAAGTAGTTACATTGATCAACTTTAAAACCATGTTTACAGACTTCCACAATTATCTACAGAACTAGTTTTGATAGCCTATCTAATTTTGAGCCGAAAACTTTATCTTTGTTTACTCACCTGATAAATTCTATATGGAATATATTTAAACATATCTTCTCCTGATGATTCCATTAACTTTTTATTTACTGACCAAAACTGATCAAATTTATCTGGAAATATTCAAACTATTGTCAAACATAATACCAAACACATCCATATAATTCATTTGAACCAATTTCTACAAAAGGGTTTCCTGGCAACAAAATGATGGTGAGTCATTCAAGCAGGTCATAATGGTTGCCATCTTATGGGTCTTTTAATTTTTATACGCCCACATTTTCATGTGGACGTATATTGTCGTCGCCCCTGTCCGTCCGGACGTCTGTATGTCTGGACGTCCGTCCGTCCACAATTGTTTGTGGACTCTCTACAGGTCACAATTCTTATCCGATTTTCACAAAACTTGAAATATAGGTTTATCCCCAAAAGATCTCGGCTGCTTTCGATATTGGCATGTATCGGATCGAAACTTCATGGATTATGGCCCCTGATTGTACGAAAAATCACGTTTTTAGCTTGTGGACCCTATAGAGGTCACAATTTTTATCCGATTTTGTTGAAACTTGAAATGTAAGTTTATAACCCAAAGATCTCGGTTCCTTTCGATATTCGCACATATCGTACCGTAACTTCCTGAATATGGCCCCTGATTGTACGAAAAATCACGTTTTTAGCTTGTGGACCCTATAGAGGTCATAATTTTTATCAGATTTAAAAAAACGTATCATTATATCACCGTTACACTCTAAGGGCGGCTGAGATCGAATTTCGTGAAAATTGGCCAAAATTGACAGACAAAATGGCCGCCGTTCGTTCTCAAATAGCGTAAAAATATGGTATATCAAGGTTGTGGACCCTATAGAGGTCACAATTTTTATCCGATTTTGTTGAAACTTGAAATGTAAGTTTATAACCCAAAGATCTCGGATCCTTTCGATATGCGCACATATCGGACCGTAACTTCCTGAATTATGGCCCCTGATTGTACGAAAAATCGCGTTTTTAGCTTGTGGACCCTATAGAGGTCATAATTTTTATCCGATTTAAAAAACCGTATTATTATATTACCGTTATACCCTAAGGATGGCTGAGATCGAATTTCGTGAAAATTGGCCCAAAATTGACAGACAAAATGGCCGCCGTTCGTTCTCAAATAGCGTAAAAATATGGTATATCAAGGTTTGTGGACCCTATAGAGGTCACAATAAAATTATTTTTATCCGATTTTGTTGAAAATCGAAATGTAAGTTTATAACCCAAAGATCTCGGTTCCTTTCGATATTCGCGCATATCGGACCGTAACTTCCTGAATTATGGCCCCTGATTGTACGAAAAATCACGTTTTTAGCTTGTGGACCCTATAGAGGTTATAATTTTTATCCGATTTAAAAAAACGTATTATTATATCACCATTACACCCAAAGGAAAGCTGAGCTGAGTGCAAATTTCGTGAAAATCGGCCCAAAATTGACAGACAAAATGACTGCCGTTCGTTCTCAAATAGCGTAAAAATATGGTATATCAAGGTTGTGGACCCTATAGAGGTCACAATTTTTATCTGATTTTGTTGAAACTTGAAATGTAAGTTTATAACCCAAAGATCTCGGTCACTTTCGATATTTGCGCATATCGAACCGTAACTTCCTGAATTATGGCCACTGATTGTACTTCAAGGCTGTGGACCCTATAGAGGTCACAATTTTAATCCGATTTTGTTGAAACTTGAAATGTAAGTTTATAACACAAAGATCTCGGTTCCTTTCGATATTTGCGCATATCGAATTGTAATTTCCTGAATTATTCCCCTTGATTGTAGGAAAAATCACTTTCTTTTTACCTTGTTCTCTATACATCTCTCGAAAATGTGGGCGTATCCTGCCTGGCAGCCGCTGGTTTTCTGAGAATTTACAAGATATTAAAAAGTCCTTGTGGATGGACAGATCAATGGACACCGGTCACAATATACAACCACATTTCAATGTGGCCTTATAAAATGGACAGTATTATTGATATTTAACAAACCATTTTGTAATCCAGTCCATAATTGTTTATGGTCTTTTTTCTGCATATTATTGACCAGCTGTCCACGATGTTTTAAAGCATCGGCTTCTTTCACCACAGACATAAAATGGGACTCGATTGCTTCTTTTGAAGGGCAATGTAAGAGCTCTTCTTCAGGAAACCCCTGAAAATATCAAATTTGTGTTGGTAAATATTTCTTAAGTCTTGATTTATGAAATTGAAGTTTTGAATCAAATGAATGGCCAATGTTCAGAGGATTCCTCATCAACCTAGGAACTAACATAAGTTACAGTCACAGAATGAAGATGTCGTAAGAGGCCAGGTTTGGAATGGAATGTGGTCATTTTGCATCCATTTAAAAAATTTTTTTGTATGATCATGTAGGCAATGAGAGGAAGGTCAACTTTGTCTGGGTAGTTGCATTTCGGCTTTAAATTCTGATACCAATTAGTACAAAACTGTTATTTTTTGTCCCATCCAAACACATTGTTCCTAAAAAATTGGGTCCATGGGAAATTTCAGTCATGGGTCCAATTCAATAACTCCAAGACTACCACATCACTTCGAAGTATAGTGACTTCTAAGAATATTTTACACATGCCAACATTATCAAAATTTGTACAGAATTTAGCTTCCAAATAGTAAGCAACTGACCTGAAAATGCGCTGTAATTTTCCATGGTAAACAATTACCACTTGTAAAGAGATCAAATAGAACACCAACAGGATAATGCCTAAATAGTAGAAATACAATGCAATACAATATACTTAAAAAAAAAAACAAAACAACCAAATGTAAACATTTATTGAATATTAATCTACATGTATACACTAAAGCAATCTTATGTTAGATCATGAGAGAGCATCAGACCCGTCATCTTATGTTAGATCATGAGAGAGCATCAGACCTGTCATCTTATGTTAGATCATGAGAGAGCATCAGACCCGTCATCTTATGTTAGATCATGAGAGAGCATCAGACCTGTCATCTTATGTTAGATCATGAGAGAGCATCAGTCCTGTCATCTTATGTTAGATCATGAGAGAGCATCAGTTCTGTCATATTATGTTAGATCATGAAGGAGCATCAGTCCTGTCATCTTATGTTAGATCATGAGAGAGCATCAGTCCTGTCATATTATGTTAGATCATGAAGGAGCATCAGTCCTGTGAGCTTATGTCAGTCAAGAGAGAACATCAATCCTGTGATCTTATGTTAGATTATGAGACAGTATCAGTCCTGTCATCTTATGACAGTCAAGAGAGAGCATCAGTCCTGTCATCTTATGTTAGTTCAAGAGAGAGCATCAGTCCTGTCCCGATGATAATTAAATATAGATAATGCAGCTTTTCATTGCTTTGATAGACTCCCACATGAGCACAAATTATTATAGTTTACAACAGCTGACAACATCCTAAATCTATTTGGTATTTCCTTACAGGGTTTCCTTACCATTTTAAAGGCTGCCCTTCATATTCCAGCCACATTTCTCCATGTTTCTCAGGGTCGACACTTTGAACAAAATGACGCTGAACTTTATCTGTAACTAGAGGGAAATAACTTTGCCTTGGAACCAGTAACTAAAACATAACAGATATTAACAGATTTTAACAAGTTATCAAATTTTTATACCCGAAAGCCAAGTTTTCAAACAATCTCTTATTTTTCATGATTAAATTTATAGTGAAATGTATATGAATTGATTATTTCACGTTTAATTACGTTCAGAAAACAAAACTCAAATATCTATGGTCGATAACCTCCTGGCTTAGATTAAAATGAGATTCATCAAAATTCTGTACCCAAGACTTATTGATGGTGCTTGTTTATGTTACCTGCGGAGTATGCCGCATGTCGTGAAATTTTCAATTCATCATATATTATTTGTAAATATTGAATTTAATTGAACCGTTTTTGGACTGATATTCTTCTTAGAAATTCAACCTTCACAATGTTGTATACAGGTCACAATTCTATGGAATACAATTACTGCTTTTTACTGAGCGACGTTTCGACTAGGCTTCTCTAGTCATTATCAAGCTATGATAATGACTAGAGAAGCCTAGTCGAAACGTCGCTCAGTAAAAAGCAGTAATTGTATTCCATAGAATTGTGACCTGTATACTCTAGTTCAATTACTAAATGCCATTGAAACAGTTCACAATGTTGTAGTTTGCACAGGTTTAAACATCCCTCAAATAATGATTAAGAGTCTTCAGCAGGGTGAGGGTCTCGTATATATCTGATAAGTGAAATAGTGTTTAATTTACTTACATAATATGGGTCTGGCTGTTCACCACTATAAACTTCCTCTTCTGCAAGTGTAAAGCAAACAGGTATCCTGCCTTCCCATATTTCTCTTAATACTTCTCTATCTTCAGCCATGATTACATATCTTCAATCTGTAATGGATATAACTAAATCATAAAGGCACAACTGTAGGGCCATAGTGAAATATCAGATTAATATAAAATCTATTGAAAAACATGTATAATAGATGCTTAAATTGAACTAATAAGAGCAGAAATGGCAATGCAGTTGGTGTAACATGCTCAAGCTTAAAATATCAAATACTGTTCATTACCAAAATCTGTAGAGAGAAAAAAAGGGAGAGAGCGAAATGGGGTTTATCGTCCACTCAATACAAACTAGGTCATTTTGGAACTAACACATGGTTTAATTTTATTTCAATAATTCGCTTGCGCTTAGGGGTCTTTAGCAGTGAGAGGAAACCGGAGGACCCGCAGAAATCCCACGAGGTTGGACAGGCGACCCTACTCCTTGTCAGGTACAATCGGGGAATCGAAACCCCGCCAGTTGACTCAATGACAGACCGTATGATACAGCGCGCACGTGCTAACCATTCAGCCATCCAACCCACTTGTAGAGAGAAATAGACATGAATTAGTAGCTATTTTCTCCCTATATCTATTTGGTGATTAGAAGAATTTAAGATTAATCCCATTAGAAAGAAGTATTTAGATGTACCAGGTTGCACTCATGGAGTAAAAATTGGGAATATGGTTTGAGGGCACAAGGTACATATAACTAGGCTCTTCCTGAAAGTATGCTATGGTATACCGGTGGGTCCTCACCTCAGTCAGAATTAAAACTCAACTATCATATCAATAAAACAAAATACAGAAATTCATCCAGATTATTAACTTATAATTATTCATTTAGAATAACACAATTTGACTGTTTGCAACAAATATTTAAAGAACTAATATAGTGCTTTTTGAAATGGCATCATTACAGAATTCAATAAGGGGAAGTAGTGCTGACACGATATATTGTCGAATCAATGTATCGCTACTCACCTTCTAAAGATTCGCGTATTGAATTGCGAGATGCCGAATCGAAGTGTCGCTATTCTTTTCTACGTTTTTTTTTTTATCGCTTCAATAACTAACCTGTCGCTCTTAATTATCCATGTCACACTCTAAAATTGTTTTGGTCCCTATTTTGATCCAAATCAATATCGCGATATAAAAGTTTTATTTCTTCGACATCGGCAGGACTAAAAATATCAATTTTTCATTTATCCTGTTGTTTTCTTGAAAAATATTGACCTGGTTATGAATCGTGATACAAATTGTATCGTAGCACTACCCAGCTGCAAACATAGCCTACAGGTAGGTCTATAGCATTTTGCCAATAATATAGACAAGGATGGCCATGTGAAGCTTTCTATTCAGTATTATATCAGCACAGCAAGAAGTGAACAAGAACCCTGAAAATTGATGACTTAGACCATCGTTAACAGTCACTGTTAGCATCTGTATCATTATTAAATAAACTGATACATGTAGGCTTACATCGTTTATAAGACAAGATTAATTCAGGAATCTGCACGCCAATTTTTGGTAATATCAATCTTACCTGACGTCTATAGCTAGTATACACTGCACCTAAAAGTAAAATATAGTTTATATGAGTGTTGGAAAGATTCTAATGCCAAAATCAAACATAAATTTGATCTATTATAATTAATAATAATATTAAGCTAAATTTGACATTTAAATTTAAATATAGTTTATATGAGTGTTGGAAAGATTCTAATGCCAAAATCAAATATAAATTTGATCTATTATAATTAATAATAATATTAAGCTAAATTTGACATTTAAATTTAAATAAAGTTTATATGCGTGTTGGAAAGATTCTAATGCCAAAATCAAATATAAATTTGATCTATCATAATTAATAATAATATTAAGCTAAATTTGACATTTAAATTTAAATATGGAGATCATCATTAAAGGAGGCAAGTCACTAACTCTATATTTTCTAGTGTCTTCGACATTGCAAACTGGACTTATTGGTCAATTTAAATCAACATTGTTGTTATTTTACTGTGAAAATGCTTCTGATATCGAACATTTTAAAATTGGCAAATGGATTGCCTGCCAGAATGCATTCAAACGTCATTTGTAATGAAGTGACTCGATGAATGAGGCTAAATATATCCTATAGCAGAATACTACCAGTGTAGACTGGAATAACCAGACGCCAAAGACTGCCATTCAATTTGAACTCTTCGCGTAGTTCGCCTAACATAAATGATTAGAAATTACAGTAAAAACAGAAACGATTGAACGTAAATCAGTTTATATAAGCAAACTGTGTGATTTGATGATATATTTGGACTAAAAACATATTCAACCTAATTAATCTATCATAAGTTTTCTTTAAATCCCTCTCAAAACTTTACATGTATTCATAGGGAGATACCGCAAGCTATAAATAAACTGTTGTTAGACGCCATGTTAGTCAGCTCAATTCATTGAGGGAGGGTCGGATCCATTTTTCAGAATGTACTTTTCGTTACTTACTGTCCATTTATCATATATATTGAGGCCTAAGTAAATTCCTAATTAATTTCTGTCAACTACTTTTTCTGCTGTTTAATTGCAGAGTCTTTTATACGTTGACCCTCCCCAATGTTCCCAAAACCGTCTAACCATTTGATCAAGAAAAAGCAACCGCTCCCTCAGTCAAGCTAGCAGAGTGCGAGAGAAATGGGATTTAACGTCCACTCTACACAAACTAGGTCATTTCTGGAATAACATATGGTTTAATTTTATTTCAATAATTCGCTTGAACGTAGGGGTCTTTAGCAGTAGGAGGAAACCGGAGGACCCAGAGAAAACCCACGAGTTTGGACAGGCGACCCTACTCCTTGTCACGTTCAACCGGGGATTCGAAACCATGCCAGTTGACTCAATGACAGGCTTTATGATACAGCCCGCACGTGCTAACCATTCGACCATCCAACACCCCGTCAAGCTAGCACACATAAACTGGCAGACAACAGTCGGGTTACCAGTTAGTGATACCCTGACATTTTTTCCCAGTGCTTGCCCCATGGGTGTTTTACAGGTAATCCAGTATTTTTCTAGTAAGATTGGGTGTCTATGCTTTCCATATTTACCAAATTTGCCATACTTTTTTTTATTGGAAATAACCACTCGATAAATACTTTTGGGCCATGTATCTTTTGTGTGTTGTGAAAATTTTTTTTTTATTTACCATTTAGGCTAAACTTATATAACTGTACATGGATGTTCAAGATGCCCGTTAATGGGCGTTTCTAATTTTATGCAATAAAAATATCTTCTTTCTTCTCAATCATCTGAATGACATCCACCCTGACACATTGGGTATTTCAGTATTGGCAAATAGAATAGATTGTGACGAAATAATAAAAATCATTAAAATTTACTCAAATTATTGTTTTATTTGTGGCCTGTGATATTTCAACTCATGACAAAGTGGATTATCTGATAGTCATATCAATCTACAGATACTTACAGTTACATCGTTTATTACCGTTTATTTACACCACTGTATGATGGTCAATAAAAGTATTGTTTTCATTTAATAGTAGTTTGGACAACCGAGACTCATCTGAAGGAGTTACGTCCCCTACAAACAACGTTAACTAGAGTTATTTCTCTTAGACCACTGAAAAACGGTTAGATCAATAAGGCCAGCTCCAGACCAAAGCGCTAACCTTTACATTACCCTTAGACCCCTTAGACCTAGAAAATAACCGTAACCCACAATCTTCGACAACAATCACGTGCCCTTTACATCTCGTGACCTTGACGAAATCTGCAGATGCAGGGCCGGCGGAAGCAATTCTTGATTGGTTGGGGGGGGGGGGGGGGGGGCTACCATCCTAGGTCCGTAGGTGAAGGTCCAGGGGCCGCCTAGTCCCCGGAAGCTTTTGGGGATCTAGATCGTCGGTGACGCTTTCTAAGCGATTTCTGACTAAAAAAAATTACTCAGCAATGAAGTGAAATTTTATTTCATTTTAACCCCCTTAAGGGGGGTTTATACAGAGCGCGAACGCGGCTTTTCGTCCTGGAATGCTCTATAGTTATTTTTAGAGGCCCCGTTCATACAGAGGGCGAACCCGAACCCGAACAAATATTGGTTCGCGCGAACGACCGCCTTGATTGCCTCCCGAGCGAATTTTTCAGAAGTTCGCGCGAACTTTTTCCCAATGAACCAATCAGCGGGCACTTCTCCATACATCATTTCCACAAACAGAAACCACTAGGCCTGATCGTACCCTGTGCTGATCGTTCCCACTTGTAAAAGCAGAATGGAGAGAGAGAGAGAGAGAGAGAGATGGGATTGAACGTCCACTCGACACAGACTAGGTCATTTCGGGACTAATATATGGTTTTAATTTTATTTCAATAATTCGCTTGCGCGTAGGGGTCTTTAGCAGTGTGAGGAAAACGGAGGACCTGGAGAAAACCCACGAAGTTGGACAGGCAACCCTACTCCTTGTCACGTACAACCGGGGATTCGAAACCACGCCAGTTGACTCAATGACAGGCCTCATGATACAGCGCGTGCGTGCTAAGTATTCGGCCATCCAACCCCCCAAAAGCAGAAAGGACAAGACCGAAGAAATGATCATTGAAATCGAAAGGAATGTGATTCTTCTCTATAAAATTTCATGCCCTGATATTCGCCTCTTTCTCTTCCTTCGTTGTTTTATGTACAAATACAGTGCCAAGATATCGTCTGTGTCTAATTCCACCTGAGCAATGATAGCAAATGACAAAATTTATCTCTCACAGCTAGAAAAAGACAAGCCATCACGAAAGCCGTCGACGGTTTTCCGCGTTCGGGTTCGAACTGCTCAAAAGTCGCGTTCGCGTTCGGGTTCGCGATGGACGCGTTCGAGTTCGCGCTCTGTATAAACAGGGCTTTACCATAAAAACACAATCTATGGTGGTTTAATCCTGTGATGTTGAACTTGACAAATATATGCATAATGCACGATGAAACTTACAATGTACGTTTATTACCGAAAGATCTCCGTTCCTTTCGATATTGGCGTATATAGGACGGCCACTTCCTGGATTATGGCCCCTGATTTTAGGAACCGTGGACCCAGTAGAAGTAACAGTTTGTATTTGATTGTAAAAAAACATTCAATTATAGCAGGTCAAATTTTTTTTATCCGAAATTGACGGGACTTGAAATATAGGTCTACCTCCTAAAGATCTCGGTTTCTTTCGAAATTGGCATGTATTGGACCGTAACGTCATGGATTGTGACCTCTTATTGTACGAAAAATGACATTTTTAGCTTATGGACACTCTAGAGGTCACAATTTTCATCCAATTTTGACGAAACTTGAAATATATGTTTGGTTCCTTTCCATATTCGCACATATCTGATTGTAATTTTCTGGATTATAGCCCCTAATTTTACGAAAAATCACGTTTTTAGCTTGTGGTCCCTCTAGAGGTTACAATTTTTATCCGATAAAGGCATTCGAATATATCCCCGTTACACCATAATTACGGTTGAGTTCACATTTCCTGAAAATGAGAACTGCCCGACAAAATGGCCGTTCCCCTAAAAGCATATAATATTCAGTTTAGATCTAAATATTAAGGCCACCTGCAGATTTCGCCAATGTCACGAGATGTAAACAGGGCTAGCGCAATTCCTAACCCTGGGAACAGTATAGAGCATAGCAGGGGTTTCTTCTCCTGAAAGTCTTTGTTCTAGAAGTTTAATCTCATTTCTCCCACTTCTATATTAAATTCAAGCCTTTTTGTTTTTAATAGAATAGTTACTTGCGTGCAACAACTTGGAGAAAAAGGTACTTGCGTCCAAAATATTGGGGGGGGGGGGGTTAGTCCCCCTACTCCGCCGGGCCTGAGGTGGCCTTATTATTTAGATATGGCCACAAAACAGACGCGTCTCTAAGTTAACTAAAAGATGTTGTTTTTTTCCGATTCCAAAATCAGAATTTTGGAGTTATTGGGTGTTATTTTAGAGTTATTGGGTGTTATTTTTTAATTTGACGTGCAGGGCGTTCCACGACCTTCCGAGTAGGTCTATATGCCGGCTTTTCCCGAGAGCCTTGTGCAAGGGCGGATCCAAAGACCATATGGATGGGGGGGGGGGCTCAAGGGGGGAGCCCTCCGGGGTGCCCCCCCCCACCTCCATAGGGTAATTTCGAAAAATAGACCCGCCTTTGTTGTAAACGCGCAAAGGCTTTATACAAGTTGGTTTGAGGACACTCTAACGTTTAACGGAAGTGGATGGTTCTATAAGGCCGTCCTTTGAACAGGTTTTGTGATCATTTGATTAACTCCCATGATTTCCAATTAATCTGGCACAGAGGGTACTACACATACATGTAGCTTAACATAATTATAATGAACAAATCTTTTGTAATTTTGTCAATTTGTATGGTGCTCCCAGAGGGCGTTCTATTTTTTGCAATAAAATCTATTATCTTATAATTTTTATTATTAAGATTTAGTGAGGGGATATAGCAGGCACGCCTGGCAAAGTGGGGGCGAAATAATTTGGCCACAAGTACTTCTTTCTCCAGGTTGTTGCACGTATGTAATTATGCGGTCATATACAACGACGCCTGATTTTAAAGGAGCTAAATCGCTAATATTTGGGACCTAGAAATTGACATAAATGGGTAGCAACGCATATAATAATGTAATATGAATGTAAATAAACTAATTTACATTCAGTCGTTTCTGTTTTTACTGTAATTTCTAATCAGTTATGTTCGGCGAAATACGCCAGAAGTTTCCAGTCTACACCGAAATGCGCACCCAAATTGAACTCAACTAAGAACTAGTGATACTGGTTTTAAGTTTCCTCTGAATCGAATAAAAATTGTGACTTCTAGACAGTCCACAACCTGGACATTACATGTTTTTATGCTATTTACATGAAGGGGGGCGGTCATTTGACAAAAAGGGTCGGTTGGATTTTCACAAAATTCAGACTCAATCATAATTATTATGTAACTGTGATATATTTAAACGGTTTTGTAAATAAGATACAAATGGTGACCTCTAGAGGGCCCGCGTGTTAAAAATGCGATATATCGTACAATCAAGGGTCATAATCCAGAGAGTTACAGTCCAATACGCGCCAATATCGAAAGGAACCCAGACCTTAAGGGTAGCGGCCCTTTTTTTTCGGGCATTTTCGGTCCGATTTTTACGAAATTTGCACTCAACCGTAATTATGGTGTAACGGTGAATATTATGTGAACGGTTTTTACAATCAAAACTGTGGGCTGTGAACTCTAGAGGGTCCACAAGCTAAAAATGTATATATGAAGTGACGATCATATATGAGCCAAGATCGAAAGAATCACAAATCTTTCGGTTAAAAAAATACATTGCCAGTTTTATCAAAATCGTATAACAATAATTAATTGTGACCGCTAGAGTGTCCATAACCATGGTATTATTATGTATTATATATTTGTCAAGTTGAGTATCGCAGGAAACCACCATCGACTGTGTTTGCATGGTAAGGGATTTAGAAAGGAAATACAATTTCACTTCTTTGCTGATTGATCTTATTAGATGGAAATCGTTCAGAAAGCGTCTCTGACGATCAAGACCCCAAATAACAAATAGCTTCGGGGGTCTAGGCGGCCCCTGGAACCTAGCCTAAAGTCCTAATATGGTAGTCAACGCCCCCCTCCCCCCATCAATCAAGAATTGCTTCCGCCAGCCCCGGCAGGAATTTGCAAAAGCCTCACGGTTACAGACCGTAGTTATCAACCGATTTGTTTTTAAACTTACAGAATATGACAAAACACAATTTCGGATTACGGTTTTGGATATATCAGGTTATCAAACATTTCATGTGGCACGGATTTACCAGTCCGTAATTATCAACCGATTTCCAATGAAACTTACAGACTAAACTGCACGCAGCGATCCATCTACGTCATACTTCGAGATAATGATCACTGCCCTAGTTGGACTCCATTTAAAACGCTCACGTGATCATTCTGGGGCGGGACTTATCGACTGGACTATTGCTTTGTGTACCCAACAGAGTAAAAATAACCCGATCAAGCACGCGTTTTATGTAAAAACATGGCATTGGCAAAATGTCAACTTCTGCCACTCCAGTAAAAGCGATATATAATATGTGCTAGTGGGTAATATTGCAATACATTCTTTGCCGCATTGTCAACTGTCTTTAGAGTTTCAATCTGTTTATCTTTCAAAACTTAAGGTTAGATACTCCTAAATTTATCTTCGCAAACAAAACCGCCTCTGTGAAATTATCTTTCATGGACGCCGCCATATTGAATAATCAGAGGACTATTTTGTGATTCGGCTTTGATTAGTTTGACATCTTTCATACACACAGCGGCTAAATAAACATATTTAATTTCATTCAATATGACAATAGAAGAGAAACAAATACTTCTAAAAATTACTAAAAGCATACTCAGTGTTTTCGACTAAAATCGTCGATGTAGGAATTAAAATGTCAGGTAATTAGCTTAGGGCCTGTTCTCAGGCGAAGCTAGCTGTAGACAGGCAGCAGCCTAAGTTTGGGATGTTACAGACTATGACATTACATTAATTTCGGCCGGGGGGTTGGG